GGCATTGTTGTCTAGTATAGGGGTGCTATTGAGGGGACCTAAGTGTTTGACATTCACTAGTACACTCTGGATATGCTTAATTCTATATATATAAAAATCTACACTTCTATACAGATGGACTTTTAACACCTCCTCTCTTTTAATCCTTTAATACCATTGTCTCTGTACCAGCTGGTATGTGCAGATGACACGTATTGGCTAAATACATCATTGATTTTTTTACTTTAAATTGAAAATATACAAAAGAATGTGTGTGTGTGTGTGTGTGTGTGTGTGTGTGTGTGTAAAATGTGTGTATATGTATATGTGTGTGACCTCCAGCGTTTGGTTCAGAGTTAGAGAATGGTGGAAATGTGACAAAGCAGAGTATGCTGACCTAGTTGCAGGTGAGCACTCATACTAGTCTAGAAGACTCCTCTTCTGCAATTGTGCAACAACATGGCAGCCTGGAGGCCCCAAGACCACTGAACTCCAAGCAGTTATTGCTGTATAAGAATGAAGCCCAGAGTTAACAGATACCAGTTTTTTTCCATGGAAAACTGGAAACTAAATTCTATGTTAAACCTCACAATTTTAACTTAGCTCAGTTCTAAAAACTTACCACAAACCAAACAAAACACATTCCCAAGGCCAGATTTATTAGCCCATAGGCCTTTAGTTTGTGAACTCCACTGGGTAGTTTTGCTTTTGGTTTCAGGATTATATTTATCTCTTTCAATGAGTTGGGAAACCTGTGTTTTCCTGTGCTCTCAATCTGTTTATATTAGGGATAAATTATCTCTACAGGTATAGATGGAGTTCAGACTCTGGGACCTTTTTGCAAAGACAGAGTTCTGTATTTCCAGGATTTCTTCAGGCAGTTTTTATACTCTTACAAAACCATGCGTTTTAATTTGGTTTAAGTCTTCGTTTTTGGTTTTTTTTTTAATCTGTGTATGCCAGTAGTTTTTATCTATTTCCCATTCTTAATTTTTGGTTGGTTGGTTGGTTGATACTTCCTCTCTGGATTTTGTTTATTTGTTTTAATCTATTTTTGTTTGGCCTTTATTTAAACTCCTTGCTTATTTTATTTGATTTATTCTTTTCCTAGCTTCTAAAGTGAATTATTTTGTCTTTATTTTCATAATTGTTTTTAGGTTGATAATGTATTGGAGATAATTTTTCGGAGTAAAAGGTTTTTCTTTGCAATGTGATTAATTTATAAATGGTCTGTGACTTGTTTTGACTACCAAGATCCAAGTCATTTCTAAGATTATTTTTTTGAATTTCCAACTAGTTAATTTTCTTTTGTCCTTTTTATTGTTGAGTTTATTTTATTGCATTGTGGTTACAGAATGTGGTCTATAAGATTTATACTCTTGAATATCCTTTGTGACATAGTAGTTTATCTAAAATGTAGGTATTTCAGATTTATTTGAAAAGAATATGTTTTCTCTGTAAGACAAAAGGTTCCAAATAAGTATTATTTGTTAATGGTTTTGTTTTGTTATTGTTCTTCTTGTTCCTCCTCCTTCCCTCCCTCCCACACCCTTTCTCTCTCCCCTCTTTTCTTCCCTCCTGATCTGTTGAGAGGTGTTAGACTCTGAGTGCACCATGATGATGTTTTCACCAAATTCTGTGTTTCTGATTACCTTTGCTTCTGTGTTTTCATGTTGTGTTAAGTTTCCTGTCTGTTAAAACATACTTGGTTTTGTAGATCTGACTTTAAATGTTTAATAAAATTTTATTTTATATCTAATTTTTTTTGAAGATTTTATTTATGCATACAAGAACTAGAGTACAGGCCAGAGGTGCGGGGAGGGGGGTTTTGAGAGGATTCACCAGAGACAGAGTTGGGGAGCAGAACAGGCAGATCTACTGAAACACACTGCTGAGGGGAGCAGCAGGAGATACAGGAAACCCCGGGGCTGCGCATGTGGGCTGCTCCCTGAGAGGCTTGGGATAAACTCATGCTGCAGTGGCCACTGATAAGTTGATAGCACTGTCTTTAACCCCTGCACCACCAGGGGGGCCCTATAGCTCTATTTTTTTTTTAATCACTCTAATTTTTTAATCACTATAAAACTTCATTGTTCTATGTGACTGTTTTTCCCTTCATTTCTTATTTTGAAGTTTGGCATTCCTACTTTCTCTGATAATATTTGCCTGCTGTATTTTTTATCACCAATTCTCATTTAAAGTTTCTTAGAATTGGGTCTCCCTGGTGGCACAAGGGGTTAAGACGGAACCTATGAAGCTATCCCCAGCCAAGGAGCTACCCACATGGCTCAGCAGACCCCTCCTGACTCGCCCCCTGCTCCCCTCAGCAGTGTATTTCAGTCACTCTGCCTGTTCTGTTCCCCACTCTGTCTCTGGTGAATCCTCTTACCCCCTGCACCTCTGGCCTGTACCCCAGCTCTTGTATGCATAAATTAATAAATCTTTTTAAAAAAAGTTTCTTAGAATTGTTTTAAGCGTTTGTTGTTTTTTACACAAACAGCATATAGCTGAATACTGTTTTTATGTACTCTTAAAGGTTAGAGACTCCTTTAATACAGGGGAATTCAAGTCATCCATTTTTCTCATAATTAAATTTAGATCTTGTTCTTACTTTTTTATAGTTCATTTGCTTTCTTATGATTACCGGCCCCTATTCATTTTTTTTTTTTAAGATTTATTTATTTATACAAGCACTGGATACAGTCAGAAGCACGGGAGGGTGAGAGAATTCACCAGAGCCAGAGCGGGGAGCAGAGCAGGCAGAAGGACTGAAGTACACTGCTGAGGGGAGCAGCGGGCGGCAGGAGAGGTCTGTGCGCCATGCTGGACATTCCTCCGGATGGCCGGGGAGCAGCTGGGGATCGAACCTGCGCTGCAGAGGCCGCTGGCAGCTTCGCAACCCAGCGCTCAACCGCTGCGCCACCGGGGAGGCCCCCTATTCATTTTTTACTTTCTCAATTTTACTGATATGAGCCAGTTTTCTTTAGTTCATTTTCCTCCCTCCTAGTTGACTCCCTACATATTAACACCTGTTTTTGTTTTTGTTTGCTTTGGGTTTTGTAGATGCTTTTTATCAAGTTGAGGAAGTTTCCTTCAGTTGTTTTATTTCTGGAAGATTTTTATAATAAGTAGAAGTTGAATTTTGTCAAATGCCTTTTTATCAGTTGATAAAGTGAGGTGATTTATCTTCATTATTGTAGCCACTTACTATGGTGAATTATACTGATTGTGAAATATTAAACCAGCTTTATATCCTAGGATAAACCGCACTTGATCATGGTATGAAATTCTTTTTATATATTGCTGAAAATACTAATATTTTGGTTGGCAGAGTGTGCAGAAGAGTTCTTGGGCTCCTTTGCCAGAAGCTTCTTTTATGTTATTTTACTGCTTTTATTTAATATCATCCCCCACCTCTGTCAAAATGTATACATACACACACACTATAGCCTTAGTATTTTGCTCTTAACTCTTAGTTTCAAACACTTCAATATCTATGGTCTCATTTTATCCTTCCAAGCATTGTCCAGTTTGAAAGGTGAAAAACAAACAAACTGCAGTATAAATAGGCCAAGTACTATATCTAACTAGTGACATCCTGGGAAAAAACATCCAGAGATGCTGACCATAAACCTACCCTTTTCTGACCACATAACTTTTTTGTTTTGCCTATTTCCTCCCTACTAGACACCAAGGAATATTTAATTTCTTGTTTCCTAAAGTGAGAGCTATTTTACCAAGCCCAATTTTTCTGGTGAGAGATATTTCTAATTAACTTTGTATAAATAAAAACACAAGTTTGTTTGGTTAGTAGGTTTGTTGGTTTTGATTTTGGCAGTAAAGTTGTAATTCAGTTATCAGTATGTGGTCTTAATATTGAAGTCTGACAGTTGCTCTTCATTATATAAGAATCAAAATGACAAGGTAAGTTCTAGCAGGGTTTCATGAGCCACTTTATCACTGTAGCTCATCACCTAAAGGAGGGGGCAGTCTCCATTCATGGAGTTTTCACTGCGTAGTGATGAGTAAATATTACCAAACAAATTAACAGAAGCAATCTCTATGTTTAAACAATATTTGCTGTTTTTTCCATAATAAAAGGTACCACATGTAAAAGACTATAGAGCACGTATGCCTAGAGCACTAGTTTTGGAATTGGAGAGGCCTTGGTTCTCATACATGCATGGTCAGTCATGGTTATGTGACAAAAATTCTCTAAACTTTGAATCCTTTTGGGTAAAATGGGGAGAAATTACGGTACCCACCTATGGAAATTTTATGTGAGAATTAAGTAAAATAATAACAGTAAATTGCTTAAAAGTGGGCCTGACTTACTAAAATGACTAGTAAACCACAAGGCAATGTTAACATTTTCATATGTTGATTCTCAGGCATTTTCTGCCCCCTCCTCCCCACCATATGTACGTGTACATATACATATGTGCATGTTTACCCACCTTTTTTCAACTGTTTAAAAATTGGGATCATCTTTTATATCCTGATTAGCTTTCCCCACATATCTTTACATCCCCTTGATGTTAAATTTATTGAAAAGATAGATTTTCATAACCTTATAATATGGTAACATTACATAATTACCTAATTATTACCTCCTTGTAAGATATCCAGGTTATTTCCAAAATTTCATCATTATAAATATTGTCACTACAAGATTAAAGTACTTGATAAATCTTAAAACTTGTCTTTTTGGTTTTTTACATTTCTTTGAGGTTGAACTCTTTCATGTTTATTGGTTACTGGCATTATTTCAGTGAAATATCTTTTTGTGAATGAATGTAACTTGTAAAGCTTCTTAGGATCCTTAGTTTTTGTGATAGTGCCAGGTACATAGTAGGTACTAAATAAACTATTTGTGGCATGATAAACGAATGACAAGAATATAACCCTTTGTCTATTGTATGTTTCAAATGATATTAAACCTTAGAAAAATTTTGCCTCTATACAAGTACAAAGATAATGCTATCTCGGTTCTTAATTTTTTTTCTATTCTTCCTCCACAGTTCATCCATGAGCTCGGATTTCCCACATTACAATTTCAGGATGCCTAATATTGGATTCCAGAATTTGCCTCTCAACATATATATTGTGGTTTTTGGCACGGCTATATTTGTCTTCATCCTTAGTTTGCTATTCTGTTGCTATTTGATTAGGTAATCAATTTTCATTCTACATTACTTCAAAATATGTTAAACAATAATCAACTTTCTGCTCTTAGATTAAAAAATTTTGTAAGTATAATGAATTAGCAAATCTTCTAAAATTATCATATGTGAACTACTAAGCAACAAAATACATTTTAAACAAGTCATGAATCCTTCAATGCTGATGTATTTTACTCCATAGGAGAAAAATTGTCCTCATTTGTTTTTCCAACCTAGTAGCCATTGATCCAGATACACTTAGTCATTTTCCCCAAAACTGGATTTACTTTTACAGATTTCACTCTTATAAGAGGATCTTGCATCATTGTTAGCTAATGTCATTAGGAATCAGAAAACAATGTCCAAAACAAAAGCAAAGTCTTTATTTTTTTTTAATTGTATTTGTTTATATATTTTTTTTAAAGATTTATTTATTTATTTATACACGCACTGGGTACAGTCAGAAGCGCGGGAGGGTGAGAGAATTCACCAGAGCCAGAGCGGGGAGCAGAGCAGGCAGAGGGACCGAAGCACACTGCTGAGGGGAGCAGCGAGCGGCAGGAGAGGTCTGCGCGCCATGTGGGACCCTCCTCTGGTGGCCGGGGAGCAGCCGGGGATCAAACCGGCACTGCAGAGGCTGCAGGCAGCTTCGCAACCCAGCGCTCAACCACTGCGCCACCGGGGAGGCCCAAAAGCAAAGTCTTTAAACAGATTTTTGTTGTCTCTCAAGATGTTAAGCTTCTATTTATCATCAAACTGATTATTTGTATAAAACACTTAACATTTGAAATATTAAAAGTAGCAAACTATTATCATTTACATACAGTAAACTAGGCCCTGCAGCACAAGTACAGACAAGTGAAGAAGGGTAACACCTGACTTTGAGGGAGTAATAGATTTAGCCAACTGATTGGTTCATAATTATTTAAACAAGCATATTTCTCTTAAATGAGGGCCTAATTTTCAAAGCCAAAACTGAAACTGTCAAAATTTTTATGCTCTTTTCTTCAATGAACTTTATAGAATGAAAGAGTAGAAAATTAAATTTGATTAAACAGTTACACATCTAATAACTTTTAGTGTTTGCCTAGTATATGACTATAGTTAAGATGGACATCATCATCAATAACTTTCATACAATTCATTATTGCCACCAGTGTTTTGGAGCACTTACTGATAGTCAGATTTGAATGAGTTCAGTTTACAGTCTTGATAGAAAATAAATCTTTCCTGATATTCTTACAAAATATAATCATTTCTTCTATCTCAAAGATATGCTGGTTGCGTAATAATTTTTTGGTGATGGTCAAAGAAATAATACTTATATAATAATTATAGCAGTCAGGAGAAACTTTTTTTTTACATTTAAAAAAAATATTCTAAAATGTGTTGCTCACATTATGCATTTTATTACTATGTCAATTGTGATTCTGTGTAATTTTTTTTTGAGAAATAAGTTGTGCAGCACAATTTTAGCTCATTATATTCCTTTTAATGATTAAGCAAATCATTACAGGGGTGCTGGAAGTGTTCTAAATATTGAACTGGGTGATAGTGATACTGTTGTATGTATATCTGTACTCAAAGTTTTTATTTACTATTGGATATTTTAAATTTTTTAATTAAATATATGATTTAGAATATTCAAACATGGATTATCATCATACAAAGAATTGAGGCTTCATTAATATATTGAGATTTTGTTTTAATGAGATTTCTCTAGAACTTATATTTGGGTAACATTTTATGGTTCACTGCACTTTGTCATAACATAGTACAGATATGTTATTTGGATATGTTCCAGGATAATGATTCTGGATTTTAAACCATATATTAATTAATAACAAAATTCAGCATTTTTTTAAAGTGTTATGTTGGATACCTCAAATATCACATTGCTCATTTCTGTCTTTTAGGCTAAGACATCAAGCACATAAAGAATTTTATGCCTACAAACAGGTGAGAAATATATTTCAGATTGACTTTGATCACCATTTTTTTTAACCAAAAAATGAGAACTCAGATTTCCACTTGTATTTTAACTAGGAGTGGATTTGTGTGCATTTTAGCATTTCATTTGCCCATTTGCGATACAAAGTAAATTAACTTCACTTTACGTATCCTTGATATTATAGAATTTCAGGTGATATAATACAATTTAACAAGTAACTTTAGCCAGCCTTTTGCTAAAGGGAAATGCTATAGCTAATAATCCTTAATATTATTGCTATGAACTCCCACTGGCGTTCAGAGATGCAGTTAAATAAATGTTTTACCTCCTTCTCCAGTAGAAAGAAAGACCACTTCCTTGGAAATAACTAGCTGTGTTATAATGTTCTCATTTCCATCCCTTTGGCTTTAAATGTTAGGTCATTTCCCATGGCTAAAAGTCCAGATGCTTGGATCATTGCCATTAACCTTTAGCCCTTGCACAGCTCTTCACTGGTTTGTTCTTTAAGTTAATAACTTTTCTTGAAGACCAAGTAAAATTTGTTTTTCTTAGTTTTCTTTTAGTCCAAAACATGAGATTATTCTTGTGTCCTTAGGATTCCTTTTTCAAACTTTAGTTTGAGTCTGAGTCAAAACAGTTTGAGTCAGTGTCAGACATTATAGACCATTTCACGATTTTAGGATTATATACCTTTTTGCCCATCTTTGTCTGTGTTTAGTAAAATCTGGACTCTAGTGAGTTTCTTAAATGCCCACATTAATGTCCATAGGTAACCCTAGATTCTTGGCCATAGGTCTCATATGGGATTCATACATAGAATTGCATGTTTTAGTTTTCTAAATGAATGAATCTTTTTGTCTCAATTCATAAACCTTACATATAAGATATTTGTATGTAAGGTTTACATATAAGAAAGATCTCCCTCACTGACTAATAGACTTAGTAAAGTCACAAGAAAGATGAAAAGTTTGAAAAAGAATACTGAATACTAAAAATGAATACTGAGTTGAAAATTTAGTTGATTCCTACATAGCTGGATGATCACTTCTGATTGTGATTTCTGAAAGTGTGATTTGCCCTCAAAGCTACTTTTGATTCAGGAATGTAGGATTCAAAATTTAAAAGATTTTCTCTAAATATCATTGAGATGAAATAACTCTAGTAAGTTAATCTCAGAAATTTCCTTTTTATGTAGTAATCTGTCCTATTACTAGGCATTCCTTTTAACTGATGTTTGGTCTTTTGGTCTCAGTTGATCCAGATATTTGGATCATTGCTATTAACCCTTAGTCCTTATACATATCTTCACTGGTTTGTTCTTTAAGGAAATAACTTAGCTCTTCTTGAATATCAAGTAAAATTTGTTGACTTCAAACTCAGGATAGCATCTGGGTGAATTTTAAGCCCTTTTTCTGAGTAAAACTGATATTTTCTGATAATAATGATCTATTATAGTAAGCAAAACTTCCCAAAGTAAAATTGACCTAACTTTTTTTGTGTTTTATAAATTACAAGTAACTCAGTCCCATCAGCCAGTGCTGTGTTTATTGAATGATGAGGCAATTGACCTCATTTATTTCCCCCTCATTTTTTGAGCTTAGTCCTGATGGGCATGTATAAATGTCTTTTCCCAAAATTTAATCTGTTCTCAAAGAGATCTTAAAATTGCTTTTCAGGAGACTTTTGCATCGTTGCTCAAGTTAAAAGAATGTTGCTTAAATGTTCTGTCTCAAACTATAAAAGAGATTCTCTCCAATATTGAATATGAGGGAAAATGAGCTATATACACAAAAGAAAAATATTTGTGAGTATAATGAGAAATTTTTTAATTATATATTTATATGGACATAAGAACATACTTTTGTCTTACAGGTTATATTAAAAGAGAAAGTAAAAGAACTGAATTTACATGAGGTAAGGTACCTATAAATATTTTAACCTTTTCTTGAGCCATTTTCTAATAGAATGCTATGCTGTGGTATCCTTGAACATCTTGATTTTCAGAAGCTGAAAACAAATTAGGCTTATTTTTGATCAGTTTAATAGACTATTTGAGGGTAAGGTCACATAGAAATCAATTGTGTGAAAGCTTTTAGAAAGTAACTTAAATAAATTATTTTTTTTTTAAGATGTATTTATTTATTTATACAAGAGCTGGGGTTCAGGCCAGAGGTGTGGGTTGAGAGGACTCACCAGAGACAAAGTGGGGAACAGAACAGATTGAAGTACACTGCTGAGGGGAGCAGCAGGTAAGTCAGGAGGGGTCTGCTGCGCCATGTGGGTAGCTCCCTGGCCGGGGATCGAACTCGTGCTGCAGTTGTTGCGAATAGCTTCATAGCTTGTGTCTTAACCCTTTGTGCCACACCAGGGAGGCCCCTAAATGATTCATTTTTATTTTATTTTTTTAAAAGATTGATTGATTGATTTATGCTAGCACTGGGCACAGTCAGAAGCGCAGGAGGGTGAGAGAATTCACCAGAGCTAGAGCGGGGAGCAGAGCAGGCAGAAAGACTGAAGTACACTGCTGAGGGGAGCAGCGGGCGGCAGGAGAGGTCTGTACCATGCGGGACCCTCCTCCGGTGGCCGGGGATCAGCCGGGGATCGAACCGGTGGCGCAGAGGCCGCGGGCAGCTTCGCAACCCAGCGCTCAACCGCTGTGCCACCATTTGGGGAGGCCCAAATGGTTCATTTTTAATAGGGATGGTGCCAATTTGAGATTTAATAGCAGTATGAAGTAGGATGCCGTTTACCGTCCATGCTATATATGAGATAGTTTAGTTTTTCTACTTAAAATGAATTTACACCTGTTTCACCCTTAGAAATGTTCCCAGTAGTTCCCTTCTTGTCAGTGATACAAAAAAGGCAATGGTTGCTTCATAGTGTTACAGGTTTGGGGAAGTGAGACAGAGGAACCAAACAGGGAAGAATATATAGGGAGGTTTGAATCCTTCATGTTTAATGATGAGGTTGCATGTTTGGTTCACAGATATCTACCATGTTGTTATGCTTGTAACTTAAATCCAAAAGTGTGTTTATCCTACTGCACACCTCTTAAAGACACCAGTCTAGGAAATAGAGCCACACTAAGAAAAATGACGCTAAGGAGGTAATATTTACATATTCAAAAAGTCAGAATATTTTACACAGGTTGACAGTTTTTTGGTTTTGTTTTTTTTAAGATTTATTTATTCAAGCACTGGGTACAGTCAGAAGTGCAGGAGGGTGAGAGAATTCATCAGAACCAGAGTGGGGAACAGAACAGGCAGACTGATGAAGTACACTGCTGAGGAGAGCAGCAGGCGTGGCAGGAGAGGTCTGTGCATCATGTGGGACCCTTGCCCGCGGCCGGGGATTGAACCGGCGCTGCAGAGGCAGCGGGCAGCTTCACAGCCCAGCACTCAACCACTGCGCCACCAGGGGTGGCCCGACAGTTGTTTTCTTTCAGCACTTTTAAAAGGTTGTGTTACTTCCTTCTGGCCTCCATGGTTTCTGCAGAGAACTTCACAGTCATTTGAATCATTGATTTCCTAGCAGTAATGCATCATTTTTCTCTGGTTAGTTTCTTTAGTTTTAGCGATTTGAGTATATGTCTGAGCATGGATTTCTTTGGATTTATCTTGTTTGAGACTTATCTTCATAAAATGTAGGTTTGTCTTTCACCAAGATTGGGATACTTTCCGCCGTTATTTCCTCAAAATTTTTTCTGCATTGTACTCTTTCTCCCTCTAGGACTCTATAGTTTTAGAATTTGTTTAAGAACATAATAGCGGGCCTCCCCGGTGGCGCAGCGGTTGAGCGCTGGGTTGCGAAGCTGCGCGCAGCCTCTGTGGCGCCGGTTCGATCCCCAGCTGCTCCCCGGACACCGGAGGAGGGTCCCGCATGGCGCGCAGACCTCTCCTGCCGCCCGCTGCTCCCCTCAGCAGTGTACTTCGGTCCTTCTGCCTGCTCTGCTCCCCGCTCTGGCTCTGGTGAATTCTCTCACCCTCCCGCGCTTCTGACTGTACCCAGTGCATGTATAAACAAAACAAACAAAAACAAAACCAGCAAACAAATAAATAAAAAGCATGCCTCTATTAAAAAAAAAAAAAAAAGAACATAATAGCAGGCCTCCCCGGTGGTGCAGTGGTTGAGAGCTGGGTTGCGAAGCTGCCTGCAGCCTCTGCAGTGCCGGTTCGATCCCCGGCTGCTCCCCGGCCACCGGAGGAGGGTCCCACATGGCGCGCAGACCTCTCCTGCCGCCCGCTGCTCCCCTCAGCAGTGTACTTTGGTCCGTCTGCCTGCTCTGCTCCCCGCTCTGGCTCTGGTGAATTCTCTCGCCCTCCCGCTTCTGACTGTACCCAGTGCTTGTATAAATAAATTAAATACAAATAAATAATAAAAATAAATCTTTTAAAAAAAAGAACATAATAGCACATTATGTTTCAAATAAGTTACTATTTCAAATAGCAACTATTTTGAAAAGGCTTAGAATCTAATTTTAATCCTGAAAATAAGCAAGTAAGACTGACTTGTCCAACTCTCTGCCCTTTGGTAGGATCAGCACTGAATTGCCAGAGGATAGAGCAATGGTCCTGACCCTGTTTCAGGAGAAGGCTGTGCTAGAAGGGAAACAGTATTTAAGGCCAGATGACCTATTCGCACAGTCTGGGAGCTAGCAATATCATTCCTCCTTTACAGTTAGGAAGCTGAGTCCCAAAAAGCGCACCCTGAGGTTGAAACTGTTAGTTTCTCATCTTTACCCGCAGCGTATTCTCAGCCTGGCTCCAGAGAACAAAAATAAGCTTGAAAATAGTGCTCCCATCACAAAAGTTAAACATGAGTAAGAACAAGTGGTGTTGGTAGACTGTCTTACTGTCCCCTCGCCCTTCCGTCCCGGGCTCTCAGCCCTCTGAGGGGAATGGGGCATATAGTGTCCTCATTTTATAGAGGAAGGAACAGAGCTTCAGAGGCAGCACCTAACATGTCATGCAGCTAGTGGGGGACGGAGCCAACGCCAGCCATCTGCCCCGCCCTCTTCCCTCTCCTGCTGTCTCTGCAGTAAGGCCCAATCTGTGAAGACAGTGCCCATCTCCTCCTTGAAGATGCTGTCTGCTGTACACACAGGCTCTGGGAACTCCCTGGAGAAGGGTGTTGGAAAACCAACAATCACAGCACTGGCCACAGGGCATGAACAGCCGCGTGTCCCACTCAGGCATGACACCTAACCTGAGAAGATGAGATTACATGATGCAGGCCACAAAACAGGCAACGGGAAGGCTGTGTCAGCACACCGGGCAAGAAGTGGTGATGAGTTGAACCAGAATTCCTGGGGATAGACAGAGAGGCAATCAGGGGTGGTTCAATCCAGACTTGGGTAGAGGACAGAAGGCAGAAGTAGGACAGCAGCACATAGGTGTGACAGTCCTGGGTCCCCAGCCAGGTCCACTCACTGGCTAATGGCCTGTAGTTACTGTTGTGCGTTTCTGTTTGCTCATCTGCAAAATGGATAAACACAATGCTACCTGGTCTCCATGGGTACTGGTAAGTGCCCAAAAAGTTAGAAATCGGCCTCCGGGCATGAAAGAGAAGGCCTGCTTTCAAGCAGTAGACTCTTCCACTGGAGAGCCTAGCCACCTATCAAAGAGGAGTCCAGGAAATTTTCCTAAGTTTAAATTCTGTGATTCTGGAATGACTTTTTATAGGATAAGGATTAACACTGACAAAGGCTAGTGCCATAGTGAGGGGCCCCAGGAACTATAAAAAAGTACGTCACTGTGGGCTCTGCCCTGGTGCAAAATCTGAGAACCCTGGGGCCTGTACCAGGCTGCACGCAGCTCCCTCAGGGCTGTGCTGCTGAGCAGGCAGAGTCAGCCCCTCCGCACAGCACAGAAAGATGACATTATTATGTCAGCCTAAGTAGTAAGGACAAGCCTAAGATAGACTCTGCTGATGCAGGGGGGTAAAGGTAGCTGCCTCTGCTTTCTGTCTTCTCCTGTCTGCCCTCCATCTTGAGCTAGGTGACAGGAAGAACAGGAGGCTGGCTCTTCTTTAGAAAAACCTACCCACACATGCCTGTTCCTTTCACTTAACCAGTTATGAGACCTTGTAAGCTCCTTCAAATGGCTGGACCTCAAGGGCTTCTGCACTTTACCTTGTGGCCTGTAAGAGTGCTTAGCAGACACTTATCTCACATGTGATATTATCTTTCAGCTCTGTGCTGTGTGTCTAGAAGACTTCAAGCCTCGAGATGAGTTGGGGATTTGTCCATGTAAGCATGCCTTCCACAGAAAGTAAGTATTGATTGGTGTGGAATTATTTAAAGGGACCGGAGTTTGAGGTAGATTCAGCTTACTTACGGGCTCTGGGGCCTTGCCAACAAGCTTGCTGACCTCATGATTGGTCTGTGAAGCAGAAAAGACCTGCTGGGTGGAGCATGTGTGTGTACGTGACGTCAGGTGGCATCAGGGTGGTGGAACATGACCACCACAGCAGGACTTCGGGCAGAGAGCCAGACAAGCCCGCACCTCCTTGGAGCCCAGCTATGAACAGCTATTCAACTGGAATTTTCCAATAAGAGCTCCATTTCCTAAACCATTTTGAAATCAAAATAAAGTCTAAATGTAAATGGTAGTGTTGGGCCATCTGCTCCCCCTTTCTGCAGAGAGATTAATATTCCCTTCTCTTGCAATCATGTGTGTTTTATTTTTTCCATTAGAAAATTCTACTTCTGTTTCCTTCCTCCCTGCTCACTGCACTTTACTCTGAGAAGACATGGTTAACTGAGGGTAGGGCACGCTGCTGAGGCTTCACGGTACCTTCTTTGGAAAGGCAGAGGCTCTGGTTCCTCCAGAGGTAAAATGCTTTCCCATCCAGTCAGGGAGCTCCGTGACAGCCAGCGTCTCTCTCTCTCTCTCTCTCTCGCTCGCTCGCTCGCTCACACACACACACACACACACATACATAAACACACACGCACGCGCATCAGATGTGTTCCTCTGGCAGGGCAGCAGCAAGATGTGGGCAGGGGGTGTCAGGAGCACGGGGCTGACGTCTTCCCTCCTGTATGTGTTGTTTCCTTCTGCAGGTGCCTTATTAAGTGGCTGGAGGTCAGGAAAGTGTGTCCATTGTGCAACATGCCAGTTCTGCAGCTGGCCCAGTTGCACAGTAAGCAGGACCGAGGACCCCCGCAGGGGCCCCTCCCCGGGGCAGAGAACATTGTATAGTTCATCAAAGGTCAGACTGTTGCGGTCCGACGTCCGCGTGGAGCCAGGAGGAACACAAGCGGTCTCTGTGCTGGCTGCTCTACCTGGGGCACCAGCTGCCACTTCCTTTGTCTCATGAAGAACTCTTGGGCCAGCTAAGCTTGGAACCCAAACATCTGGGTCTAGTGACAACCAAAGCACTCTGACACTACCCCATGCCAAGAGCAGAGTCGTCGGTGAGCCTGCGGGTTTGGTTCAAGAAACTTCATGAGGTCTCTCGCTAACTCCATTGTACTCTGTCTCCCAGACACTTCTCTCCACGGCAAGGTGAATCCTTATCAGGCAGAAGGGAAGATAAACACGAGTGTCAGAGAAGGGAACTAAAGGCAGGTCCTTAGCACCACCCCGACCCTGAGAACAGACGAGCTTCTCTACAGACCGTGCATGCCTTTGCCGCAGCAGACCCTCCCGGCAGCCCCCGAGCCAACTAAAACCAGCGGTTACCTCAGCCAAAGCATGACCAGGCACCAGTAGTTGGTGAGGCAATGCCAACAGGCTGCTCCTGTTACATTCCTTTGCTAAGGCCAGCTGGGAAACCCAGCGCTTTGGTCACACCAGAGCAGCGGTTCCCCTCACCGCCTTCCCTCCCTCAAGTTCACGACACTCGTTTATCAAATCATCTGAGCTAGAAACATTAGCTGTACTTGGAAAGGCCTGGTCAGAAGCCATTTCCTCTTATTTACCCCTCCTCGACAGTGGGGTGCAGCCAAGCCACCCATGAGGAGCCCCCGCATGGGGAGAGCCCGAGCCCATGCTGTCCCTGTGTGACCCGGGGAGCCCGCGGGTGCTGTCCACGCCCCACACCCACAGTGCGGGTCGGCGTAGCTGCTGGCCCGGCCCACTGCCTCAAGGATGTCACCATGAGCCCTTTGCGCAGATCCGGAGAAGAGCAGCTTTCCGAGAATGGCCGGTCCTGGCCCCGCGAGCTGAGAGGAGAGTGCGGACCCCTCCTTCCCCCTCCTTCCTCCTCCTTCCTCCCGTCCCCTGTCCTCTTCTCCCGGTTTCAACTTAAAACAAAATGCCTGTCATTGGCTTTTTAACGATTTAAGGTATTCCAAATAAGATCCCTGGTACGTGTGAAGCCGGGATCTACTTGAATTGTAAATAGTTCTGGAAGCTCCTGCAGGGCTGTGTACCCAGTGGTGTGTGCCTCAGTGTTTGGACTTGGATAACTAATTGACAGTGTCTTTATAGGAGAGAAATGCATGCTGCTCTTTGGTTCTTTCTGTCCAACTTTTCTAGAAATGACTCGGAGTCCATTAGGATTCATGACTGTTGTATAAATTAGCTATGGGAAGCAGCACCGGGTCAGAGAGAAAGTCATTGTCCATACCCCTGCTATCCGCCGCCCGTCACAGGTCCAGAGGCTTCACCGGCCCACAGGTGTGTGGGGGGTGGTTTCTTGTTGGAAATACAGGCTGTGTCGGGATAGGGATGGAGGGAGCTTTGCTGCTCTGTCATGGCCTGTCTCCAGGAATTTTTTCTGGAATCCAGCCTCTACCTTCTTAGAATGGGAAAGGAAACCTGTCCTTGGCTCGGGAGGTTGGGGTCAAATGAGAGGAAAATTCTCATTCACCTGGAAAAGTGCTGGGCAGAATCCAGTTTGGAAAATTACAAATCCAGTGGGTCAGATTGGCTCTTTCCTGTGTGCGACCTGCCCGTGGCAGGCTGACCAGACTGCTGCTTGCACAGGGCGCGGGAGGCCTGGTGTGTTTGTATGTGAAAGCCTTAGCCCGCGCGGCCCCCGTGAAAGGAACGGTTTGCACATGCTACTCCCACCCTGTTCCTGGGTTTGTAGCACAATAGCGTTGAGTGCTGCATGGCACCCAGTTTACAGTAAAATGTGACCAGTTTCAGAAACAGGCTTGGCACAAATGTCATCTCTTCATGTGGGTTCCAACAGAAAAATTTTCCCCTCAAAAGAGAAATTCGTGTGTTCTCTACTGCAGATTATTTTAATTCACAGGTTTTGTAGGATTAGTCTTTCAGTTGCAGGCTTTCTGTCCCTCTGCATCAGCACCAAAGAATCTCACCAAGTCCTTGTACTTACAGGGAAGTAAATTAATTCATCTCGCTGTGTCACAGCTAAAGGCAAGTGGGGTGGTTGGTGCCAGCACAGAACAAGGAGCAGAAGCCAGGTAGTTCCAGCCATCAGTCGAAAGCCCGAGGAGGCGGGGTACTCTCCGCTGCGCGCCATCGCGCATGGGCTTTGTCCCATGAGGCACCTTTGACCCAACCTCAACACAGGTAAAGGTGGAGGGCTTTTGAAAATGCAGCTTCCCCATCAGGGTGGGGTGGGGCTGGACCCTAAAGCGGGGTGTCCACTCCCCCTTGGCTTGTCCTGCTGCAGCTTGGCCAGTGTCGCTCAGTCATTCCCATGATTCTCATCAACATAAGCAGAATGTGGTCACACCCACGTCTGCTTCCTGTGCTGCTATAACTGATGGCTGGGTTTACTTCAGCGCCTGATTAAAGTCAGGTTCGCGTGAAGGACAAGGTTAAATCTCTGCCCAGAATGTTTTTTAATGAGCTGAGGAGCCTTCATATTATTGTCTGCGGCTCACACCTCGCAGTGAGAGAGGTAAGGCTGCCCTGTCCACATCTCCAAGATGTTCGTGACCTTTGCTAATCTTCAGTCGTGGGGGTCCAGGTACACAGTGGGGGCCACTGACTGGTGACATGATTTGTCTTCAATGTGTCTTAAGCAGCTCAAAGATTGGGTGAAGCGTGGTGTGTGTTTAGTGGAGAACTTGGGCCCCATGTGGACGCCACAGGTAGCTGAATCATTACCTAGTTGCAAAGGTACCCCTGAATCAGCCTGACTTGATTCCTGGGTGAGTAGCCTTGACACTAGGCGGTGTCACCTGCCACTTTCCTTTGCCACATGACGTGGCAGGCCTGTCCCTAGCAGGTAAATTCCTATAGCCTGTGCTTGTCTAGCTGGGGAGGACAAGTCAGAAATGACCAGATGGGAAGCCTGGACTCGAGGGTACAGGGGCCCTCCCTCCACAAGTCAAATACCCTGTTCTCAACAAGTGTTGACATAAAGATCCTTGTCCTCAGTGCCAAGCTCCGCAGGTCCCCAAACCCTTCCACAACCCCACTCCAAAGCATGTCATCTCCCTGGCCTGAGTCCACTCCATTAAGCTACTCTGAGCGACTAATGACTTTTCTGAAAGGTCTTGTGAGCATTTTGAAAGAGAGAGGCACCCCCAGAGTGCTGAGCTGAGTGTGCACTCAGTGACTTGCCACTCACCAGCTATGTGCCCTCCCACAGGTTAACCTCTCAAAGCCTGTTCCGTATCAGTCATCCCGGGATTGTACTGTGTCCTTACTGGTTCTTGTGAGGATTAATGCCCCTCATCCTGCAGGCCTGGGGTGCTGGGTGCTACTGATACTGGGTAACACCATGCAGGATGCTTGAGACTACTGTTCTGCAGAAACAGAACCCCAGCGACAACCTCCTGGGTGTGGGCACTTTCCCCAGGGTCTGTGTTCATCCGCCTCCCTTTTCTTCTGACCTGCCATAGTCCTCTCCAACTGCCTTTGACCACAGCACTCCCCAGTTTGGTTGCTCAGTGCTGAATATTGCTTTAGTATTTTTCAAAGGCTTCCACGATTCACGAGTCATGTAAAATGTTTATACATTTTAGTCTTCCTTGCATCTGAGCAGCTTCTCACCCACTGTGTTTGTGGTGTTTCAGAGATCATTTCTGCATGTACAAATTACACATACATGTGTGCACACACGTGTAAGCTTTCCTCCTTTTTGTTCATGTGATACCGGACACTTCGTGTGGGAAAGACCACCTCAGAAGTCGGATTGTCTTAAAGGTGAGCCCAGGACTGGGGGATCTTTGGAATCACGATCCTTTTCAGTAGCTTATTTTTTATTGACTGCAGCATACCAGAATTCTAGTTTTCTATACAAATCACAAGCTGCAATCCCTCCCTGACCCTGACCACAGATACCCAGATAATGCCAGAGCAAACGGTTTCCAGAGCGTGCTTCTGATCTGTGATGCTCGAGTAATCGCTGCAGGAATGGGCACACTCTGCAGGGACCTGGACACCCTGGTGCTCCCCAACTTGACCCATTTCAAGTCACACCCAACAGTGACGTCTGGCTACAGCTGCCACAGCCTCTCTGACAAGTGCTCATGTTTTTGAGGCAAGTTTGAGAAACAGCAGTAACGAAGGCCAAGGCGTCCTTGCTTCATGGGGCAGATGTCTCCGAGGTTGCTGAAGGTGCTCAGTAGTCTCAGGATTAGTTCTAGATACACCTGTCGTGTTCAAGTCCTGGATCTGTGCCTTTATTCTCTCCATCTTGATGCACAGCATACTCATTTTCTCTTCATGCAGTATTTTTTCCATTCAGCAACAAATTACCCCACCAGTAATCTTAATTATTTTAAGTTCATTTCACTCCTGCAGGAGACTAAAGTTGCTTCCTCCAGGAAGCCCTGAGGGGAAGGGTAGGGACTGAAACCCTAGTCCTCACCCACCTCCCTAGTGCCATGCACCCAGAGCAGCAGCCCAGGGCATCCCCAGGACTAAGTACAACTTTGACCTCTGATCTGAAACTTAAAAAGAAATTGCATGTGAGGCCCCACCCCTCTGTCACTCAGTGAGCCTTTGGCCAATAGTGTCTGCCCATTAGTTGTGCGGGACTGTCTTGAGCTTGTCTGAACTCTGGTGAAATCTGCTGTCGAAAAATGGAAGATCATGAGTTGTGGGTCTGTGCTGGATTAGTGGAGAATCCCGTGCTGTGGATTATCAAGAGAAAGAGGGGCTTGTACAGTAAATGTTACTGTCCTAGTTCAGCTTTAGAGACCCAATTATTACATGATGCAGCAGGTTGACTACTTTTAGACCAAACATCTGCATTCTTGGCTCACCATGCCAGTGCTCGCTTCTGTGGCTATAGGACCTGAGAACACCTGCTCCAGGAAACCCATAATGTGGACCCCACCAGTGTCCAGAGACTGCACTGGACCGAGCTCCTCTCAGCTCCGTGCCAGCATCGTCTGGAGGATCTGCACCTCCAGTCAGCTGCGCAGTCCCCATCTGCCCTCCTCCTCCCCCTCCCCCTCCCCAATAGTGCTGGTGGGTGCTAGGAAGCCCCCCCACCCCGCCCACCATGATGGCCCTGACTCCCATGAGTGCTCCTGATAACTCATCTCTGGACCATTGCCAGGAAGGGGGTAGTTTTGTCTTGTAGTTTAGCTCATCGGGATTTAATCACAATTACTAGATGTGCAGCACCCTCAGACCGTTTATGAAACGCTGAGCCTCAGGTTTCATAGACATGTTTGTACACTAAGAATTCTGCAGCAGAATATTTTTAAACATTCGCAGTTTTTTTGTAAGCTATATTTTTGTATATTTAATTGCTATTTTAAAATTTTAATGCATTTTTTGCTAATTACTCGTTTTTAAGAAATATAACATGCATGTGATTGACTTAAATGTAAATAAAAAGCAGATTTTGAAAATACTTTGTGTTGAGCCTATACTCTTGAACAGGAACCTGCACCACTTAAGCCCCCTTAGCAAGAATTGGAAAGTCAAGGTGAGTGGTTCTGCTCAAATGGAGCTGGTTACCAGCATCAGGTGATTGTAATGGAGGTGCTTCTGGCCTAGCCCCTCCTGTGGTGGGGGTGCAGGTTGCGGTGAGCGCGCCAGTGTGGGAGAAGGCAGAGGACGGCCCCATCCACCAGGCTGGCCTCAAGGGTGCAGATGCAGCTGGACAGACCAGCAGTCTCCTGAGGGTGGATAGCAGAGCTCAGAGGGATTATAGTGGCAGATCTAGGCCACACCCTACCCTCTAGCTTATTATCCCAGGCTGGACATGCCAACTGTGCTAGACGAAAAATCATCTCCTGGTCCAGAGTTGTCCTGTGGCTGCTTTTCAGCACCACACCTCACTAGACCCTCCACAAGTCAGTTTCTGTCGCAGCTTCGGGGCTTCTGCCCTCATGGCCATTCGTGACCCTGGGCCAAAACCAGGCGCCTCTTTAAACCTCCTCGTAATGCAGGTGCCTGGAGAAACACCCCTGCCAGCCCCCCTGACCACTCCTCAGTTTTCCCTGCAGCTGCTTCCTTCTGCTCATCTACTGTTCTTCTCACTCTACCTTGGTGTTCACTAAAATCCCACCTACATGCACATCTTTCCAAATCCCCAGCTGCCTCTGTGACACAAAGTCAGGCAGTCCAAAAGCAAATCTTCCCCCAAAAGCCTATATGCCCTCACAGACAGCACCCCCATACATCACATTCCACTCAGGCGGCAACATTCATCTCTCCAGCCCATGTAGAGTTGTCGGGACCAAGAACACAGCCTGTAGGGGGACAGGAAGGGCTCCGTGACGTGAGTAGACAGGAACAGACAAGTGCTAAGACAAGACACGGAGTGGCTTAAACCAGGTGCTGTCAACGTGACTGCAGATTTACATGCATCTCCCGAAGCTGGAGGTACACTGGCAGGCAGCTAGGATGCTGGCAGAGGTCCTGGACCAGGACAGGTCTCCATAGAGAACAGCTGGCTCCGGCTCCCTCCCTGCTGCTCCATCCAGAACCACGGAGTTCTCTGCCTAGAGAAAGCAGGGAGAACCTGCGTAGCATGGGGCTTGAGAAGCACAACTATGGCACCCGTGAGGTGGTGGCACTGTCTTTGGCGGTCATGGAGGGAAAGGCGGAGCACCCGTCACGTGGTAGGAGGCAGCCTGGATGAGGATAGTGGGCCAGGACTGGAGGTGACCCAGGAGGCTGGGGGTGAGGGTGCCAGGAGGAGCGCAGCATGGAAGCAGGAGCTACACCAATCACCAATCCCATTCCTACAGCTCCCTACAGCTGCGAGGCCTGCGCGGACCAGCAGCACCAAACCACAAGCGCCTGTACCATCTTCAGCTGGCGGCGGCGGACCAGGCCGAGGGCTGTGGTCTATGCTGCCCCCACGCGGCCGACACCGGGAGCGCCAAGGAATCGGGATGATCTGGGAGCGGCGCGCCCGGCCCAAGCCCCGCCCCCCTGTGCCAGTCCTCTGTGCCTTAGCAACCTTCCTTCCCGCTGTGCCCAGTCCCTGCTCCCTCGCCCGAAGAGGAGGGGAGGTGGCCAGTGTCTTGGGGCTTCCTGCGTTGTACAGACCCTTCATCGAGGTCAACAGGTGCCAGGCACCCAACAATATACAGAGCCTGCTCTAGCGCCAAGGGCGAGTTTTAAATTACTCCGCACAAAAGGACTCCAAGCCAACCTTTAACAAGACGACACCTCAAGGGCCTCCCCTGGTGGCGCCGTGGTTGAGCGCTGGGCTGCGAAGCTGCCCGCAGCCTCTGCGGCGCCAGTTCGATCCCCGGCTGCTCCCCGACCACCTGTGAGGGTCCCACATGGCGCGCAGACCTCTCCTGCCGCCCGCTGCTCCCCTCAGCAGTGTCCTTCGGTCCTTCTGCCTGCTCTGCTCCCCGCTCTGGCTCTGGTGAATTCTCTCACCCTCCCGCGCTTCTGACTGTACCCAGTGCTTGTATAAATAAATCTTTAAAAAAAAATAAAGATATAAGGTCAATTAAAAAAAAAAAGACTACACCTCAAATCCTGCCCTTCTCAAGCAGTCTTCTGAACCTGATTCAGTTCCATGGCAGCACCGTGCCAGGCAGTTTGCTCAAGGGGGAAAGTTGCTGGAGGAGGGAGAAGCCAGTGTCGCCCCCCACCCTCTTCCCCTTCCATTTCCACAAGCCTGAAAGAATAACCAGATTCTCCCCAGGTCTCAGGAGATGCGGATTCCAGCGCCCCTTGTGTCTGAGTTTAGTCTTCCATGCTGTGCTTTTTCTACTGGAGGATCCACTTCCCTCAGATCAAGAATGGCCCCCCAACTGGAGGAAACTGGCCAGGGAAGTCCTATCTTTATGAACAGTCCTTCCCAGGTCTTGCAGTGTAAAGAAACCCAAAATGCCCTTCCAAAAATTGCTTTTCCAAGCTCTAGGTACACACCTAACTTGCCCAATTAAATGTGCAGAACCTTGAAATACAACATGTTCTTCAATTTGTTCACACAAAGGGACCATGCGCACCAGAGCTAACGCTCGGATGATCTCCACGGCCGGTGACAACATTGTGATTGTATCACACAGCAGCTTGCTTTACATTCAGCAAATTCAAACAGGACACAAAACCAGTCAGCCGAACACAGAACAGTTCTCCCCTGAAGTGGCCCCAGTAGAGCTGAATTTCAGGAACACGCAGCATGTTTAACAAGGCTACACTGAACAGCAACTTAAACAGCAACTCGTCGCTGCCATGGACATGTCCACTTCTTTAGACACACGTGTCTTTCCTTATGGTTACTACTTTAGACTGAATTTTTAAGGAGTGATCTTGATGACTTAGAAAAATACACTTGTCCTTTCTTGCTTTGATTCAGGTAGTACACAATCATAAAAGTGAGCAAGTCTCTTAAAAAACAAAAGTCCAGAGATCCCAGGGTGGAAGATTCCAAGAACCCCTCCCCAGGTAAAGATCAGGGCATCTTCAACAGTTCAAGGAGTGCTCCAACGGCTCCAAAATAACCCTGGAAAAAAAAAAAAAAAAACACACCAAAAATAAGAGCAGTTTTCCTTGGACTGACTTGAATCATCACAAGTGAGATGACTGGCGTTAACCCAGTGCTGCCCTTCCCTCCTCACACCCGCTCCCTGAGCACCCATTTCGCGGCGCCCAAGGCCAGCGTGAGAGCAGAGCAGCTCTGAGGAGCCCAGGCTGGGGAGGAGGGCCGGCTGCACCGGACACTGCACGTCAGCCAGCACCCGCAGGGCCTCAGGAGCGTGAGGCCAGCAGCTCAACTCCCCCGGGAAGGGCTGGTACCTGGGCTGTCCAGTCAGGAAGGGAGAACTAGAATGCCTGGAGCGTTTCCACACAACTAAGAACGAAAGGGAGATGGGACAGAAGGGCAGTGAGTAGCAGCAGCAGCGGGCAGATCACAGAACGAGGGCCTGACTGGCTATATAGGCTGTAAGGGAGTGAGAAGCGGGTGGGATGGATTCGGAAGGAAAGGGGGGGCCACATGCAGGTCCCTCTCAAGGGTGATGCTATCCCAGAAGTACGAGATGCAGAGAGCAAGGAGGCTTTTCACACAGAAGGGGCAAAGCCGAGGTGCCCAGGCAGCCAAGCCGCCCGCGCAGCCAACCACTGGGATGTCTGGAGGTGGAGCAGAGCAGCAGGTGGGCTGCACTGGGAGCGGCAGGCGGCAGAGGAGTGGAGAGCAGAGGCAGGAGACAAAGCTGCGGCTAACGGACAAGTACCGAGCCCGGCCCGGGAGCAAGCAGCCGAGTCAACTACAACCAAGAACCAAGACATGGTAAGCCAGTAACAAAAAAAATCTGAAGGGATTGACTATGAAGGAAAGTGAAACGACACCCACTCTCTCAGCAAGTGTGCAGGAGTCAGAGGACCTCCAGTGACACAGAATTCAACCAGTCTCCAAAAGATGAGAACAGGGAATAAGATGCTTTAAGGGAGAGAGACGACAGAAAAGGAATGTGGGAAGATCCACAAAGACTTGCTTGCCAAGCCTCAGCAGAATGTACTGAAAGTCTCTGCAATAGTCCTAACTCAGGTGCAGCCTATTTTCTGAGAACGGCTACTTCAGGAAACGTGACCACACAGCAGGAAGGCTGACACCTGCCCTGCCACGCTATTTGGCTGTTGTTGTTTTTTAAAGATTTATTTTGATTTATGCAAGCAAGAACTGGGGTCTAGGCCAGAGGTAAAGAGGGATGGGAGGATTCACCAGAGACAGAGTGGGAGCAGAACAGGTGGATCTACTGAAATACACTGCTGAGGGGAGCAGCGGGGGAAGACTCCAGAAGAGTCTGCTGTGCCATGTGGGTAGCTCCCTGGCCGGAGTGGCTGGCGATAGCTTGAAAGCACTCAGACTTAGCCCCTGCGCCACCAAGGAGGCCCCCCATTTGTTTTGTTTTTAAGAAGGCAGCCATGTGCATCAAATATGATGGGGGCCAGAAACTGTAGAAGCAACACAACTGAGCAATGCTCAGGACTCCCCAATTACAACCAGAGGACAGACTCAAGGGCATTCATTACAATAAGCTACACATTGTGCTTTATGTAGCTTTCTGTATGTTTTATTTTACACGACAAAAGAGAAAGTTAACCACTATCTTGAGTTTCACTGAAGACCCAGAACCTATACAAGTAAGAGAGAGGTTGGTACATTGGTACAAGCAGTATGAGAACAGTAAAGGATAAAAAAATAAAGGCTTAATAAGAATCTATACAAAACTTTCACAACAGTAGTTACAACCTCAGTGTGAGAGCAGAACATGTCAAGACTCAAGAGAGCATGACAAAGTTCCACAAGGACAGAAGCAACAGAGTCACAGGTCTGAATGCAGATGGAAACACAAGACAGGGCCAGCGCTGCTCACCAGAGAGAAGTGAAGCCTGAGGGCAGAAAGGACGGCAAAGCGCTGATAGGGAGCTATGGAAAGGTGCTCAGGAACGCGGGCCAGTGCAGGGCGTATGGCACAGCGTGGCCACCACAGTGGACACAGCCATATGCCCCACAGAAAAGCTGTTAGAGTAAATCCTAAGAGTTCTCATCACAAGAAAATAGTGGTTTTTTTCCCCCTTTTAATTTTTTTTTTTACTTATGCACAGAAGAACTAGGGTATAGGCCAGAGGTATGAGGGGTGAGTGGATTCACCATTGAGAGTGGAGAGCACAACAGGCAGACTGACTGAAATACACTGCTGAGGGGACCAGCGGGAGAGAAATCTGCTGCGTCATGTGGGTAGCTCCCTGGCCGGGGATCGAACTCATGCTACAGTGGCTGGGGATAGCTTGACAGTGCTCAGACTTAATCTCTGTGCCTCCAGGGTTTGTCTCCTTTCTTTTCTTTTTGTTTGTAATCTACGAGAAGATGGATGTAAGCTGAACCTACTGTGGTCATTTCACAAGATGTAAAGCAAACCATGACGTAGATCTTAAACACAGTAATCTATGTCCCAATAAAATGGGGGGAAATGTAAAAACAAAATTTCATAAAGGGTTCATATAATAATCATTAGGTTCATATTATATGACACTTTAAAAAAAGTAACCTAAGAAAATTAACCTCCACACTCTGCCTAGGTCAAGGTTCATTAAGAGATAGACATTTGGCAGCAGGAAATTCAACTAAAATATAACATTAAATGGGGTTTCTTTATATTTAATAGATAAAGCAAGCCAAAACAGGTCAAGTCACAAAAGATGTACATAAAAGGCATAAAAAACTTGAAAGATAATTTGCTACCAATCTGCTAACATAATAACATTAAAAGGAAAGTTAGATCACTTAAACCTTAAGATTTTTAAATGCCTGATCTTGCACTTTGGGTTTTAACTATGAATTTAAGAGCAAATTAAAAGGAAAAACTTAAAGCAATTATTGAAGACAAAGGATCTCTTTCTAATTTCAAATCCTGTTTTGATTCTGTCAATTCATAAAATACTGTTAACATAATTGTGCACACACTATTCTAAACAAATGTTCAACACTATCTAAAATCCAGTAACATGTGAAATAGTTCAACTGCTCAAGAACCAAGGAGAGAGAAGCGTTCCCCCACTTCCATTGTTCTGGTTCTATTTAACCCAACAAGAAAAATTAAAAGGCGCCTTCCAAAACAGGGTATCAGGCTGAGCAATTAATGATTCTTCCCCATTTTGTTATTTCTGGTCCGTCTATATAGTGAGTTCTTATGATAGTGTGATCTGATCTTTTACTTATCTATTTCTTTTTAGAACACCTTAAAATGGCTTATGAAATGACAGCACATAAAAACTGACCAAAAAAAAGGGAAAAAGAAAAAAGCAGAACTCACAGTAAACACATTTACAAAGTGCACAATGGGAAAAATATAAAGTATGGTTCAGAAAAGAACCTGTATCAGAAATATAGGAGAGTGTTCTTCCTCAAATTTTTTTTTCTTTAGAATTGTTTAAACTCAGAATTAACCAAAAATCTACCCTGCATTCAATCAGGTTAAGAAAGAGCTTTAGAATGTTCAACCCCTCATCCTGTAATTACAAAAAACACAGAAGAACTACAGCCCACTTCACCTCAAGTTTCAAAGCAGTGTGAGCCACGTGCCCCTCACGTGTGTAACACAGCACAGGAATTAAGGCCGCTTACCTCATGTTCCGAAAAAAGTGCTTTCAACTGCCCCTTGGACCAATAATCCAAAGCATACGCCAAAAGCCGCATGGCGATCGTATTAATTCTCAAGAAATTTCCAACAAATACCACCTGGTTAATGTTCTGAGCACATCAAAAACAGGCAGTTAGTTTTCATCTTAATTTCTGTTCATAAAAGCTACCCAAAACAGAGCACCATTTGCAGTTTTTTAGCAGCAACTTGGCTGCTGATGAAAAAAAAAGCATTTACATTCATTTACTTGGTCCAAAGTTACTTAAATCTGACCCCCCACCAACATTGGACCAAACCAGAAAATGTCATTTGAGGAAAAAAAGACTAGGAAAAACATCTGTATTAAATATGACAAATCACTACTATTAAAAGTTTGAGATAAGAAAAATATAAATTCAATAGAAGTGTCATAAATAAGCAAATTACACAAAAAATGTAAGAAAAAAACCTCAACCTCACACACAAGTGATCAAAGAAAATTTAGATCTATTGAAAGTTAGCAAAACAACTGAAATTCCTCCCCCAGTGTTAGTCAAGTTACGGTAAAACATCCACTCATTCATTCATTCATTCATTCATTGCTAAGGATCTAAACTGGTACAGCGCTTGGGCAAAACATCTTGACAATACATATCAAGATCCATATGCATGATCATGTTCCCGAGAAGAGAGACGCAATCCTCAAAGCTCTTATCAAGAATAGAATTCCACCAAGGAATATTCACGCTCACATATGCTTGACTGTAGAGCTGTCAAGGGCAAGTGACCAAATACCCGCCCAGTTCTATGTAAATGACTTCTGATATAAAAAGAACTTGATCAATTATATAGCCATAAAACTTATATTTAAATAAAAAATATAAAAGGATATGTACACAAACTATCTTAAAACACATAAGAGGGAATATGCAACGAAAAGTAGTGTTCAGATACATAAGTCATTTTTTTAATTACTTGACTGATACAGTATATTTTTAATTAAAAATGAGACAAAACCTATTGCACCTTTTAAAATTCCTTAAGGAACATATCTATTTAAAATAGTTTAACAAAAATGTACAAATAGGGACAAGCCATAAAGCTGCACCATCGGGATGCCCAGGGGAAGGCCACTCTTGGTTCTTTCATAGCCCTGTACAATGCTGCTTGACCTGAATGCTACAAGGCAGCACTGTAAAGAAGCTGAAAGCACAAAGACAGCTCTGCTGCAGTGGAGGGGGAGCGGGTGGGCATTCCTCGGCCCACTCAGTCTTCTCCCAGCGTCAGTGACTTCCTCTGGATTCCTGCCCAGAGGCCTTATAGTTCAACCATGAGCCTGGAGTCTAGATTCAGCAACATGATCCATCACCACCACCCAACAGCACCATCATCTGGAAGAGTTACCTTGCTACCTTTCTCTACTTTTACCTCTACTTCTAGATAGTATTTATCTCTAATAGAGAAAAAAAGAAATCAGGATGACTCTACATGTGAAGAGTTTTAACTGTACTAATCAAACTCCACCCCATACTACTACATTTAGGAACAAAATGTAGAACTCTGTAGAAGACAGAGGTACACAAGTTGGGGCCCACTAAGTACATTCTGTATTTTTCTCAGAGCATCTACAGAAATCCATGTTCCCTTACTTCATTAAGGGCACACATTCTTGCTATAGAGCCGATGTTGTTGGTGATGGTGATTAAAGTCGCTCTGGCGAGGTCCTCTTTGCTGACCGCCTCTCGCTTCTCCTTGCTCATCATGTTTCCAAAGCTGTGATGGGGAAAAAAAAATCCATTGCTAGACCAAAGGCAACACAGACCACAAGAATATAAATGCTATTTTACTATGACAAGTGATTATTTTAGACCAACATTGTTCAAATTTTCAAACTTTCAATTACAAAATGGAGCATCTGCTCAAAGGGAATACTGCTTCAAGTAGAGCCCTCAAGCACTCTGAATGAAAAAAAAAAAAAAAGGCTTTCCCTGTGGTTTCTAATGAAATCTAGCTTTGACATCAGTTATTTGCACATTGTTAGGATCTCATGAGATCCACTGAAAGGCACCACTGCTCCTACTGCAACCAGGGAGTTCCAGAAGACACCTCTATTAGCAATTTATGCCCAACTGCACAGCTGCTACACTCAGCTGAATAGTCACATTCAGATTGTTTTTTCAGAGCAAACGAAGGACAGACTGCTGAGTGCCACAGTAAACTACTTACGAGCTTCAGATTTGCCTTGTAGATAAAGTACTTAAACTACTTCACTAACTGACCAGAACACAAACCCAACCAGACAGAAAAGGAAGTAATTATCAATAAGCAAGTGCTGCAAACATAGAAAATGAAATCTACAGCATTTACAGAGTGCCTAAAATCAGCAAAGCATGCATGACTGCCTTTTCTAGTATTAAAAACCATTTGGAAACACACACACAAAAACTGTTCCTAAGCAATATGAAAATGAAATTAAGACAACAACTCCACTTACAATAGTATTAAAAGAATAAATGCTTAGGAATATCTAAGAAAAAAGTAACACTTGTACACTGGAAACTAAAATAATGAAGCAAGCAGGCAAAAATCTAAAAAAATGGAAAGACATCCCATCCTCTTGATTCAGAGAACTACATGGTAAGATGACAATACTCCCCAAAGTGATCTACAGACGCATCACAATTCCTATCCAAGTCCCATCTGCCTTGTTTTTGCATACATTGTGTAGGGTAAGGAAAAAGTATCAGGCTTTTCTGCCCTCCCACCATTAGTATGGATGAGGGAACCCTGTGGTCCTGAATGCATGCCTGACGGCGGGCGCCTGAAGTGGGTACACCTGGGCTGAGAGACTGCGTTTATAAGGGTGGCATCACGGGCACGCCAGCAGAAGCCAAGAACAAACAGAAGCCGAGAGGAGAGGGAGAGAAGCAGAGAGAACGCCAGAGAGCCCAGATAGAGTGAGGATTTGCTGGGGGCTGGGAGGACTGCCAGCCTCCCGACCCCCCAACACCCTTGCCTGCCATGTGCCTAGTAAATCCCAATAAAAGCTTGCAAAAGCCACTAAGGCCTCCTTCTTTACCCGGTCTGCTGGATCAGAAAACCTGCATTGTGCCCTGTCCTGACCCTACACATTGACAAGTTACTTCTAAAGTTCATATGGAAAAATCAGGGGACCCAGGCTAGCCAAAACAATCTTGCAAAAGAACAAGTTGGATGAGTCAACTTTCCAATTTCAAAACTTAGTACAAACAACAGTAATGAAGGCAGTGCAGCACTGGCACAGGGATAAGAGCCAAAATAAGACCATATACTTATGGTTAATTGATTTTCAACCAAGTGAAATTTAAGTGGGGGAATTTAAGTGGGGGAGGAGGGGGAGCTATTCAACAAATGGTGCTAGGACAACTGTATATCCATGTACAAATGGATCAAAGGCCTGAATGTAAAGGCTAAAATCATAAAATTCTTAAAATACAGAAATAAATCTTCGTGAACTTAGACAAGTTTTTGGTTTTTTTAAAGATTTATTTATTTATGCACACAAGAACTAGGGTGTAGGCCAGAGATACAGGAGGTGAGAGGATTCACCAGAGACAGGACGGGGAGAACAGGTGGATCTACTGAAATACACTGCTTAGGGGACCAGCAGGCAAGACAGGAGATGTCCATTGTGCCATGTGGGTTAGCGCCTTAGCGGGGATCAAAATTCTCGAACTCATGCTGCAGTGGCTGTTGACAGCTTGATAGTGCTGAGACTTAACCTCTGCACCACCAGGAAGGCCCACAGGCAAGGATTTCTGATACACGAATGACCCCAAAAGCACAAATGATTAAAGATTAGGTAAGACGGACTTCATCAAAATTCAAAACTTTTAAGCTTCAAAGGAAGTGCAAAGACAATAGAGAGAAAATGTTTGCAAATTATGTAACTGATAAGGGGACTTACATAGAGAACATGTAAGAATTCTTACAATAACAAGACAAGTAATTCAACTAAAGAATGAGCAATAGACTTAAGCATTTTTCCAAAGACAGTCAATATGTATATGAAAAGATGCCCAATGTCATTAGTTATAGGAAATGCAAGTCAAATCCAGAACAGTCACTTTACACCTATTAAGGCAGTCACAACCAAAAGAGAGAATAACAAGTATAGGCAAAGACGTAAAGAAATTTAAAGAGTTATACACTGCTGGGGGCAGGGGGGCGTTGTAAAATGGTACAGTCCTTTAAGAAAAGTCTGGCAGTTTCTCAAAAGATTAAACAGAATTACCACATAATTCAACAATTCCTCTCTGGGTATATATATCTCCAAGAGAATTACAGATATGCTCACATGAAGAGTCATGTTAACAGCATTATTTGTAACAATCAAAAAGTTTAAACAACCCAAATGTTTACCAACTGATAAATGGATAAATACAATACTGTATACCCATACAATCAAACAGTATTCAATAAAAAACAATATACTGATATATGATACAACATGGATGAGCCTTGAAAATATGCTAAGTGAAAGAAGTCTGTCATAAAAGTCACCTGTTGTATATCATTTCTATGAAGTATCCAGAATACTTCAAATCTATAAGGCAGAAAATATATTACCACTTCCCAGGAACTATGGGTGAGGGAATGGGGAGTAACAGCTAACAGATAAAATTTTTTACTGGATGATGAAAATGCTCTGAAATTGGATTACAGTAATGAGTGCACAATTCTATACATAAGCTAGAAACCATTAAATCGTACACTTTAAAACAGGTGACTTTATAGTGTGTAAAGCTATTTAAAAGGAATGAAACATACTCAAATTTAAATATATTAGTCTTATACATTTTTTAAGATTTATTTATGCACAGAAGAAACTGGGGTGTAGACCAAAGGTGCAGAGAGAATAGAGAGAACAGGCAGACTGACTGAAATACACTGCTGAGGGGAGCAGTGGGTGAGACAGGCGAGGTCTGCTGCACCATGTGGGTCAGCTCCCTGGCTAGGGATGCAACTCAGGCTCTAGTGGTGATAGTGCTGAGACTTCACCCCTAGGTCACCAGGGAAGCCCCTATTAGTCTTATTTCTTAGAATGCACTTATCTCCTTACCTGGAAGCCACAGCCCAGCCGGGCAATCCAAACCGCTCATAGTCCCCTCCATAAATGTCTCGCACTAGTTTGTCCACTTTAGTGCTATCTCCACGAGATGCCATTTCAAGAGCTTCTTCAAAAGTGGTACAGCCAGTAAGAAGACAGCAGAGACCAAAAAAAGTTCCTCCTCCAAGACTGATTAAAAACAAACAACAAAAGTATTACAACATTTTTAAAAAGTCTAGGAGGGTAATATTTAAGAAACCGAAACAGTGTTACTGCATCACCCCACTGCCCCAATCCAATCATGCAGTGCCACCATGGGAAAGTCCGTGGGAAAAAAAATTAGGTGCTAAACATACATTTTGAAAATACATATTCATGGAAACAGCTCCTGCCTTTCTCTTTCCACATATATGCTCCAAGTAATCCTCATGCAAGCACCTTGTCACCCAGGCTCATCAGCTCCCAGCCCCACGCAAACTCCTCCGCGAATGTTTTCTCCCCCCAAAAATTACTCCTTTCATTAACTCACACCTATTAAACTTTTTTTTAACTCAGCCCTCCCCAGCATCTTGATTTTCCTCAGGTGATCTCTTATCCTTAAACCAAACATTTTCATCTGCCACCGAATCCTCCCTTTTCTGAGTACCCTCCCCCAATCATTTTTCCACTACTCAGTACCTCGACTTCTGGATCTTACAACATCCTCAGGGCTGTGTGTACATGCATATCTATGCCTGTCTGAAAGTTGGTATCTTCCCTCGCCTTATTAGATGCTACCTAGTAACGATGATTTGCTTTATGGCATATGCACAAAATACATTACCTAAGGTAAGGGACGATGAGTTCAATGAGTCCACTGATCAGATATTTTTGAAAGTATGGTAATGATATCTCGAGCAACTAAGATTAAAGTTGGTCATGAAATCAGAAATTTTCAATGAGAAACAATTATTTGTCTGTATAATCCCAGAAAAACGTTCATCTTTCATGTAACAGGTTCTCAAAGGCATACTTACAGGCAACAGTTTAAAAACTCAGCTTTAACCCATTATATCAAGAATGAATAATGACCTTTATTAAAAGACCTACCTGGTACCCGTGACTCGCTTGTAATTATCTTTGGAATATACTGCTAAGATGCTAACCCCAGAGCCAATGTTCACCAGAAGTAGAGGGTATGGATTTTTCAAGTCAAATGGTAACTTCTGACATTTCTCAGAATCAGCAGGGTTTTCAAAGTAATAGCACTGCGACCGTCCATTGAATCCAACTGAGTCAATGTACAAAATTCCTTTTATTAAGCAATCTAGTTCATCAAGTTTACAAAGCTGAAGATCACCTATCTGTAATGAAATAAAAAAGTATTCAGACTTTTTAACCAGCGAAACAGATACAAAAATTACATTTAATAAGGCATTCTCTCTTCATAAAAAAACCATAGAAGTGCACACAAACATGTATTATCTGCACATGCTTTCCAGAACAGATCTGGAGACAACATAGGGACAAAGTGATAAGACAGACTCTTGCTTTGAAAAACTACAAACCACTGCAGCAGCTGAAGAAATGTGCCAAAAACTCAAGCAAAGAACAAGATGTCTCTTTGCAGAGATCATAAGGCAGGAGCGCAGGTGAGATCACAGCCTTATCAGCAGAAAAACAGACTTCAGAGTTCCAAGTGACTCAAGCACTTGGCGACACAAGACAGAGCTGCAAGGACTCTTGACACCTGCTTTTTTCCAAAGACCACCTCAAGGCCATGGAGCAGCATCAAAGTAAGTCACGCTTTACTCTTTAGTAACCTGAAGCCAAAGGTCTGAAAATGTCTGATTAGAAGGTAAGATTTCTCTCTAAACTGGTCACAGCCTCTGGTGGAGGGAGAGATTTTAGCAGTACCAAAATTCAAAACACTGTTATCAAACTTAATTACATTTAAAAAAGAAATTACTAAATTATTCATATTCTGAAACACTGTATTGCAATTAAAAATGAAGAGGATCATCATTCAATTAAGAATTACATCAGGAAGAGATCTAAGAAAGTGTTAATAAAAAGTTGAGAAACACTTTATAAAATTTTCAAATTGGAGTCAGGTTATATTCTCATTCCCTAAACTGGCTCCCTCATGCATGAGTCTCTGTAATAAAGCCTTGCTTGGTTCAACTACTAAATATATATATACTCAAATTGCCTATTTTTAAAACCAAATTTATATGCACATGTCTGTTATCACAGTTACACAAAAGATAAATATTTCATTAACAATGGTAACTTTAGAGATGGCATAAAGAAACTTCCACATTTTACTCTAGGAACTTTTAAACCACTTGATTGTTTACAAGTATATTCAATATACGTGGAAAATGTAAAGATGCCTCAAAGCAACTTTTCCACTTTTCAACCAAGTTTAGTCCAGACAAGTTCTCCCCCACTAACTAAATTCTTATTTGATTATATTTACACTGTTTATTCTGATCTGCCATGAAGACATAAGTCAATAGGTAACTTCATTCAATCTTTAAATAACCCCAATTAAGAATATTAAGTCTTCTTACCAAACCCAAACCCTTGAAGTATTTATCACTATCCTTATTTCATCTGTTCATGACCCAAGGCCAATAATACCAACTTCCTGAACCTTGAAATCTCAAGTGCCAATATTTTCATTTCAATAGCGACACCAGCAGCTATTGGAATCAAAGCTTTTTTCCGCCACTGTATGTCAAACCAGTATCTTTTATCCTTCCCATAATTCATGTTATCCTGAAGTGTCTCCTCTGTTGTGCTACTACTCTTAATGAACCCCAGCCCAATTACTTTGATACCTAGCAAACAACATTTAAAGAGAGTAAACTAAGTATTTAAAAAAATATTGCACTGTGGTTGATTAAATATTAGTCTCTCCTAATGCACAAACAAGCATTTGATAGGCATTTCATTCTCAAGCAACTTTCAAGGCTAATGCTGCAGCATACAAATGAAAAGGCACAGCAGTCTAAGCACCAATCCCTAAGGTTCAGAATCCACAGTGCACCCTCTCCTAGCATTACTGCACAGCACTAAGCCTGTGGAAACAGTCTGAATGGAGTCCAGATATGTTCCAAAGGAAACTTCTATAGTGTCCTGGAAAAAGGGTTTTTTTTCCCCCTTTATCTCTTAGTTATTTATGATCCAGACCTCTGTGAGGCTCCACAAAGGAGGGGAACTCTCTCTCCTCCTGCCCCCTTCCCCTTTTTTCACAGGTAGAAACCACTGAAAACCAACCACCAAAAGAAGTTTAAGAACAAACTATAAAACCTTGTTTAAAAAGTCAAGTTGATTCTGTATTAGGATTATGATCAGCTATGGGTCAATATAAGGAGGACAAAGAATGAGGACATAGTCACAAACCCAACAATGACAAACAAGGGAAAATGAAGAATCTTTGAAATAATATTCTCATTTGGTGGCATTATGAAATGGTCACAGAAGAGATTTTAAATCTAAATCGCACCTGATGATCTGCCTCAGTCAATTCACTTGTGAATTCTCCCATCTACCCCCACACATAACCTTCAAAGGACCTAGCCTCAAGGCCTGACAATATTCACTGAAAAAAAAAAAAAAAAAAAAAACAAAATCAAGGGCCCCCTGGCACTCCCCTTCAGCGTCAGGCATGATGCAGGGATTCCTGTTAACAAATGTGCAGCACAGAACACCTCAGAGGCATTGTGGGCTGTGCTGTCAGTCATCTCCATTAGTCCGAAGACCCAAAACCCACTTCTTTGACACAAGTTCCTTAATTAGTACACTATGCATGAAACTGAGGAGACGAAGAGGAATGATGTGGTAGATGAAACTGGCAACAGTATTACTACATGAAATGACATTAATTGTTCCCCTTGCTTTTCAGTATCTTTTGCTCAAGATGTAATGATGTCCACCCTGATAGGTAGGCAGTTCCTTCTGCTTAGACTATTCTTTCATACTGAAAAACCAAATGCTCTACGGTCAGTGGTTCCAATTCTCATCAACTCATCTGAACTGAGCAAAAAGTAAAATATACAACAACCTCTAGATGTCAGGCCCTGCCTATCACTAATTTATATTTAATCTTAATCTGACTCAAGACAATTTAGGCTCCATTATAGATGGAAATGATTCCATCACTTGCTACTTAATATTTTTAACAAATTATCATAAATTGTATATAAGCTAAAAAATGCATACTGTGAGGAAATCCTGCTCAAATTTGTACGCTCCACCTCCAGTGGCACAAAAGACAGTGTGGAGACTTGAGAAGTTTTTATCTCTGCCCATCTGAATAAAAGCAGGCATGTCATGAGTGGGAAAGCGTATAAAGTGCAGATTGCCTTTGCGTCCACACAGAGTCAGGTCCTTCAGCTCCAGGTGCACGTCCCGAATACCCGTGGACCCGTAAGCCACATTGGAGGTCAGGTACTTTCGGATGCTTTTAAGACTTTCTACTTCTTCTTCTTCTTCTTCAGCAGTGATGTCTTTGGGTTCAAAATAAACCAGCTTGACCAAGGTTCCACCAATATCCAAGCCAAACCATGGAAATACTAAATGTGGAAGAAAAAAAAAAAGTCAGAACAGCCTTTTTCCCTGAAAACTAAATTTACACTTACTCGATTAGCAATTTACTTCATACCCTAGAGTTTCCAAGGACTAGTATTACAAACAAAAAGCCTTTTGGGAAAATAATGATTCCATCTGATTTAGAAGCACAACTTTTTTTTAAATGTTAGAAAAGTCAAAGAGAAAAATATCAGAATTTTGAACCAACCCAACCTGACCTCTACTACAAAGTACTTAATAACAATGACTACCCAGCAATCTCAATTCTGGGGTATGTGAGAGAGGGGGAAAAGATTAAGAAAGCAAATCTTCACCCTTCCCCTTGGCTTAGAGGAAAAATCGTTGATAATTTCCTGAGCTCTGAGTTAGTACTCCAACTAAGGAAAGAAGAAATTCCCAACCCTATGTAATACAGACACTCCAGTGGTCAATTCTCTCTCAAAACTTTATGTCTTAAAAACAAAGTTTTTCAAAGGACTATAATGAAATAGATATTTCAAAGTTTGTATCTGTTCAAGAAATCTCTCCCAAAAAATGATTTCAGGAGATCAAGATAGACTGCAGAGACATTTGTATCTTCCCTTCCCACTGTAAATCCTGGAAATGCCTGCAGATCATATGTTGACATTTTCTAAAGTCATTCTAGGAAATAAGAGGTGACAGAATCAGCAGAATTACGTAGAAAGAGACAATAAATGCCCAGAACCCTCCAAAGAATGCTGTAATAATCTGGGGTAGCTATGAAGGTGGGGGAACACAGAGGTGCTCCATCCAAGCTGTAGGCAGAGGTAGGTGCCATGGGGAAACAAGAGCAGGCTCTGGTGCAGTCAGTGTCTGCTGGGGAAATGCATTTGGTGTAACCCAATATGCCAGCCACTTCCCTGCACTGAGCCACAGCCCACCTCCAACCTACACAGGATAAGTGTTCGCGGAGCACAGGCAGCTGCATGCAAGAGTGAGGATGGCACCAGGGTAGCTGCTATTACCCAACAATGGGGAACCCCACACTTAACCATATATCTCACCTGTGCCCCACAATACATCCTGACAGACTGGTAAACACAAACCACATCCACTGAAAAGGGAACAACAATCCTCAAACCAGAGATAATTGCTTTACAAGCTAGAATCACCAAAACAGACAAACTGTGAAAATGAGAAGTTAAACATCTGAAGAAAGAACTGCAGGAACAAACAGAATATTTTCAATGATTCAACCATAAAGATTCTCAGAAATAAAATCTGATCCTCGAAAACAGAGTAAGCTACCAGAGGGAAAAAAAAAACACAAAAATGATCGCCAACTGTGGCTTTAAGAATCTATAGATGGGGCCTCCCCTGGTGGCGCAGCGGTTGAGCCTCTGCAGCACCTGTTCAATCATCAATCATCAGCCATCAGCCGCCAGCGAGGGTCCCACATGGCGCAGACCTCTCCTGCCTCGCCCGCTGCTCCCCTCAGCAGTGTCTTTGGTCCGTCTGCCTGTTCTGCTCCCCGCTCCGGCGCTGGTGAATTCTCTCACCCTCCCGCGCTCCTGACTGCACCCAGTGCTTGCATTAATTAATAAATCTTTAAAAAGAAAGATTACCAAAGGAAAAGTGAATTCCTACAAAGAAAGGTAAATTTAGACTTTTCATCAGTGACACTGATGTTAAAGACAATGGAGCACTGGCTTCTAAAGTTGTAAGGAAAAAAAATTAAAAATTCATAGCCAGTCAAACCAACTTTCAAGTGGGAGTGCAAAAGAAATTTTCATGTATGAAAGAGCTCAGTTTACTACTCAAAGACTTTCTCTGAAATAATTAGTAAATGCACTTTATAATTTAATTTTAAAAGCATCAGCGAAGATATGACCTTTAAGAAGTAAGCAAAAGCACCAATGCATGCTGAATTTTAGAAAAGCACTCTGAAACTAAAATACTTACATGATTTCAACATAGGAACTCAAAGAGGGAAGAGAGAGGAGAGGGAAGTGAAACAAGCAGCAGTTCTATCTAGTTGGGGAGAGAGAAAGATTCTGATTAATTCCAAATAATAGAGAAGTGATTTAAAAGCTTATAGGTAGCCCCAGAAGAAGAGCGTGTGACCTTTAAACAACGAAGGGGAAAAAAAAAAAAACACACCAGTTCAAACACAAGGAAGGAAAAAAAGTATGGGAAATACAAAACACAAAACAAAAATTGACAGGAATCATTGCAAACATATTAACACAAATAGTTCAAACGTCTTTCCTCTTGGAGGAAATTCAACTGTATGCTTTCATTAAAAAAAAAAAATCTAAAACAGGATAATACAGGCCTCCCTGGTGGCGTAAGGAGTTACGATGCAATCTATGAAGCTATCCACAGCCTCTGCAACACGAATTCAATCACCGGCCATATGGCGCAGCAGACCTCTCCTGACTCACTGCTGCTCCCCTCAGCAGTGTATTTGTCAGTCTGCCTGTTCTGTTCCTCACTGTCTCTGGTGAATCCTCTGACCCTCCCCCACACCTCTGGCCTGTACCCCAGTTCTTGCATACATAAATGTTTAAAAAAATAAAACAGGATAATACATGTAGACTGAAGGTAGATGGCAAAAAACACAAGAGTTGGATGCTTTAAGATAAAAAAAAAAAAAAAAAACAGGGCCTCCCCGTGGCACAGCGGTTGAGGGCTGGGTTGCGAAGCTACCCGCAGCCTGTGTGGCACTAGTTCGATCCCCAGCTGCTCCCCGACCACCGGAGGAGGGTCCCACATGGCGCGCAGACCTCTCCTGCCGCCCGCTGCTCCCCTCAGCAGTGTACTTCGGTCTTTCTGCCTGCTCTGCTCCCCGCTCTGGCTCTGGTGAATTCTCTCACCCTCCCGCGCTTCTGACTGTACCCAGTGCTTGTATAAATAAATCTTTAAAAAAAGAAAAAAAAACAGCAGTCAGAAGCACGTCAAAATCTTAAGCACATCGTTGGAAACCAACAGAGCAGGTGACTTACAGTATAGTAAGAAGTCAAACATTATGTTTCAAGACCAACATTGCATCTAACAGACGCTATTATGCTCACATTATGAGAGGGTCCTGCAAATAGTGATCTACCAAAGAAATCAGATGTCACAACTCATTCCTACCCTCACTTGCAATTCCATGTTCACAGACCAAGTCAGGGGGTGGACTCACTGGCACAATTTATTTAACTGATTTATACAGGTGAATTTGGGGAAGCAAAATAAATGCCTGGACAATTCTACTCCACTGTATCAAGCCAACATTAACAGAAAGCAAACAATACAAGCAGATAAAACATTTCAAACAAATGAAACATTAACGGGACAAAATGATATTATGTCATGTGCACAGTATGATAGGATACTAACACATGCTTCAAAAAACTCGAAAAACAAGAAATTGACAAACCCTCAAATCAGTTTGAGAGGAACACAGGGCTCAGAAAGGTGCACACACACAAAAAGGAATATATAGGTCTATCATAGGTAAGGTGGCTGTCTTAAACACAAAAAGTTTGCATCAAAAACCAAATACTTTCAAGTACCCATTAAGCAGTCTTAAAAATTAACTGCATTGACTTAAAGATCGCGAAATTTCAAAGAAAAACCACATTCAATTCCCCTATTATCTCAAAATTTTAAATACTCTAATAGACAGAAATAAATCTAGCCGGGCCTCCCCGGTGGTGCAGCAGTTGAGCGCTGGGCTGAGAAGCTGCCCCGCAGCCTCTGCAGTGCCGGTTCGATCCCCAGCCACTGGGCGAGGGTCCCACATGGTGCGCAGACCTCTCCTGCCGCCCGCTGCTCCTCTCAGCAGTGTACTTCATCGGTCTGCCTGTTCTGCTCCCCACTCTGGCTCTGGTGAATTCTCTCACCCTCCCACGCTTCTAACTGTACCCTGTGCTTGTATAAATAAATCTTTTTTAAAAAATAAATCTAGCCAACTGGGAATTTGTAAATCTGTAAATTTGAGGTTAAAGAGGAAATTCAAACAAAATTTATTTTAAATGTATGACAATGAAAACTTTATGCATCAAAACCAATAGGATATACTCAAGGAGGTACACAAGGGAAAACTTCTGCAATTAAATGTTTACCAAATGTATTCAAAATGAAGAAAGCATGAATAAAAGGGAATGTCACATACAATTTGAAATGCTAGAACACATTAGACCCAAAATTAACAGAAGTTATTAAAGATTAACAACAACATAGAGGGCCTCCCCGGTGGCGCAGCGGTTGAGCGCTGGGTTACGAAGCTGCCCGCAGCCTCTGCAACACCACCGGAGGAGGGTCCCACATGGCACGCAGACCTCTCCTGCCGCCTGCCACTCCCCTCAGCAGTGTACTTCGGTCCTTCTGCCTGCTCTGCTCCCCACTCTGGCTCTGGTGAATTCTCTCACCCTCCTGCACTTCTGACTGTACCCAGTGCTTGTATAAAATAAAAAATCTTTTAAAAAAGATTAAAAACAAGATATAAATGAAATTAGAAAAGCAGCACTGAACAAAGCCACGTAGAGCTGAAGCAATAAAATCAAGTTTTGAAAATGACATTAAAACAAATTTCTGCTAAGTATATCCCAAAATAGGTGTTTTAAAGATATGAAAATCAAAGATGAAAGAGTACATAACCAAGTATTATGTAAGTAAACCAATAGTATATGGCATCATAAGTTGACAATGTACACTATACAAAGGAATAGCAACAAAGTACAAAAAAGAGGCTCAAGAAGAGATAGAAAACAAACCAAAAGGACTGAAAAATTGTAAGAAGGTTAAAGATATACCACCCAAACAACTACAAAAAACTCCAGGCTCTAGTGGATTTCAGACAAACCTTGAAGAACTTTTAGGACACAGAAAAATCTAGAAATATTTCCAAGTCACTTTAACCTCATATCAAAGTATGGGAGGACCCAAGTATGCAAAACATTAAATTATTAAACAGAATCCAGCTGTGCAGTAAGAATAATAAATACACCAGCAGGTAAACGGGGTTTCTTCTCAGGAATGTAAGGTGGTTTTCACATTAAAAATTCCAATTAATGAAACCTGTTTACATTAAATTAAAGGAGAAAAACCATGAAGAGCTCAATGGATTACAAAAAATAAAAACTGAGAAATAAACAGAAGGAATAAAAAATTTTAAAAAGGTAGTTGAAGAATCAGCTTTTCCTACAAAATTAGCAAAACCCAACAAAATGACATGGAAAAATGTTGTGTACAGCAGTATAACAAGTCATAAAATGTTCAGAAATTAAATTTGTAGGATCATTATTAAATGGTGTATTGGAAGACATCCTGTTCCAGGCAGAAAAATTAAAATGTCAATTTTAATTAATCTACCGATGTCCATGCATTTCAAAAGAGAATACTGTGGCTGAATCCCCAGCAGCACCTCTGAGCCTCTGGGAATCCTGATTTCTTCAAACCAACACAAAGTCCATTTCCAGTGACAGGTCGAAACCAACCTGGATTGAGTATGAATTGGCTGTCCCTAGCACCTACAAAAAAGTTGCCTCACTGTTATGAAAGCAACAGTGCTAGTTATGATTAAAGGAGGGAGAGTCGATTCCTATTTTCATAACAGCAAGCACCATTCTTTAACCATCTTTTAAGATGATGCCAGTGGAGAGCAAAGAAATACAACAGCACACTATCAACAAAAACAAAACATCACGTCAAGAAGATTGGACTATGAAATTTTGGACATTAAAGCAAATTAACTCATATTTCCTTAGGTTAAAAAACTGAAACTCTGATAGATGACTATTATGTTAAGTAATCATTAACAATCAAGCATTATATTAGGCACTTCAGTGCATAAGCTTATTTAATGTTTACAAGTAACCATGTATTATAATCATACCATTTTACAGAACATACAAAACTGATGTGCAAAATAGGCCAAGGTCAAAGTCAAAAGAAGGCAGAAGTGGAACTCAAAATCCAAATTTCCTAAATGCTTTTAAGAGATGTCTGTATAAATCTAAGAGCACAGAAAACATTCTCGGGTTAATAAAAAAAAAAAGATTTAAAAGTGGTTTAATAAATCCCCACTCTTTAAATATTAAAATACATGGAAAAATAAGGAGTCTGAAGAGAATAGCTCAGTTCATATCCGTGTTAGAGTCTTAGTGGTTTCTGGGTTCCTGCTTAGACTGTACAGTGCAGAACTGAGAGGCGTGGGGGCCATTAGACCCATGCTCACTGATAATGGCTGAGGAAACTGTCTCAGCCTGTCTCTGTCTCTGTTACAGGAAACTGTCTCAAACTGTCTGTTACTTCTAAACGTTCAGTCTGTCCAAACGAGCTTAGATTCCCATCATTAAATGTTAAAGTCTCAAGTATAAAACTTTTTTTTTTAAGGTTTGTTTGTTTATTTATTTATACAAGCACTGGGTACAGTCAGAAGCGCGGGAGGGCGAGAGAATTCACCAGAGCCAGAGCCAAAGCGAGGGGCAGAGCAGGCAGAAGGACCGAAGTACACTGCTGAGGGGAGCAGCGGGCGGCAGGAGGGGTCTGCGAGCCTTGTGGGACCCTCCTCCGGTGGCCGGGGAGCAGCCGGGGATCGAACCGGCGCTGTAGAGGCTGTGGGCAGCTTCGCAACCCAGCGCTCAACCGCTGCGCCACCGGGGAGGTCCTCAAGTATAAAACTTTAAGCCATGTTTTATACTATAATATAATGAAACTGAAATAAGCATTCCAATTCTTTCTCAAAATACTATGTTTCTGATGGGGAAGTCATGAAAAAAAGGAAATCTTGCTATACGGTCATATTTCCTCATAACACCAACAGGACACCTATTATCACTTCTAAAGAATGAGTCCTGCCATTCATCTTCACAGATATTTCGCTATGTTTGCAGCTTCTAATATTTCCTGATACTAAGATCTCTAAGGTATTCAGTCAGTCAATTTAGGACATATTTCTAGAAATAATTTAAACTCTCGCTCCCTCATAGGTTATGTATGTGAAACCATCTTTGTTTTTTAAATACTATTATTTATTTATTTGTTTGTTTGTTTATTTTTGTGGGACCCTCGCCGGTGGTTGGGGATCGAGCTGGCGCTGCAGAGGCTTGCGGGCAGCCTCCCAACCCAGCGCTCAACCACTGCGCCACCAGGGGAGGCCCTGTGAAACCATCTTTAGCATAATGTCTGTCTCAAAATAGGTCACAACAACTAAAATGCCTTCCAAGAGGAAATATATGGTTTATGGAAATGTGTTCACTTTTTCAACATTCTCAATTACACTTTTACCAGACCACATGTGGTTATAAGATACTGCAAACCCAATCCTAGGCTGGCTAGGCAGCAATCCTTGGCCCCACATTAAGAAATACACCTTAATAATTCTTCTCAAAATAGTTTTAACTTGGGAACCAGATACTTCTAAAATATATAAAACAAGACTGTATATTTAATTCTATATTTGAGAATTTTATAAACACAAAACCTAACAGATTGCTTAAAAAACAGAGATGGCTTTCACTTTTAGAAAGCAAATTTAAAGCCATGTTTTAGAAAAGTAGGGGTGGTGTTACATCCTAGTCAGTCTCGCGGACAATCAACTGAGAAACCACAGTGTCTGACAATAAAGATACCTTAACTTGTGGGACCTCCCTGGTGGTGCAAGAGGTTAAGACCTATGAAGCTGCCTGCAGCCACTGCAGCACAAGTTTGATCCCTGGCCAGGGAGCTACCCACATGGCACAACAGACCTCTCCAGTCTCACCCGCTGCTCCCCTCAGCAGTGTATTTCAGGAGATCTGCCTGTTCTGTTCCGCACTGTGCCTCTGGTGAATCCTTTCACACTTCCCCCCCACACCCCTCTGGGCTGTACCCCAGTTCTTGTATGCATAAATAAATCTTTAAAAAAAAAAAAGATACCTTAGCTATGATCTGGAAAATGCTCAGTGTATAAATTTAAATCCAAGGAACATCATCATCACTCTTTAAAATGAAGAGTCTAAATAGCCTCTTTTCACTGCCTGATCAGGTCCTCTAGAACAACCTACAGTCTCTCTCCTTTTAACCTGTTAAAGCAAAAGATTCTTAGCAGCATACATTTCTTCTAGCTTGTTTTCATTCCTCCCAGAAAGAGCAGGGATGCCAAGACTGAACAATCACAATATTATCTGAATGCATGATTCATGCGTACATCCCCTAAAATAACAATGTACCGTTTTATACAGCTGCATAACTGGACTATTTTTAGACCCTGCTTAATGCTTTATATTTGTTAATAAGCCAAGATATGGGGCCATCTTTAATTTCACTTAGATTTAAGGTTGATAATAGGTTAAAAATAATCATCTTCTGCCTCTCAAAAATGGGCCACAAAGCAACAGAAATCAAACTTTTTTCCTGAGTTCCCAATGGGCATCCCTTTCTAATTTCCCAACTGAAGATGAAACATTGCATCTCATAAAGGGCAGTTTCATGGGGCCTCAGTACTGGTTCCATTCTGCCAACATGGATGCTCCCCCAAAAGCCAAAGAAAAGCCATCCATTTTCTAGGTTAGTATTGTCAGCTACAAATAATTTTATTTTCTGGACTACTGGAGTTTAAGCATGAGTCCAAAGTCAGCAAAGGTCACCCTGATGTGCTACAAGCTTGGGCATCACATTCAGAGATTCAGCATGTCCCCTTATACTACCAAGGAGCACTTTGGCCCCAGGGTTCCCACATCTCCTGAACATGTGATTAAAAAATGATCTCTAGTTACAAGAGTATATATTTTTTTCCAAAAATTCTCATTTTACTATATATAATTATGCCTCAATAAAATTTTTAAAATTAAGATATGCATACTTTTTGCAAAAAGATGAACTTTTGCAGACCTGAGTTTTTTTTTTAAAGCGTTTAAGTGATTCCAGCTGAGAACCGCTGCTCTGAGTTACACTGCATGTGATGTCCCCCACTCGAAAATGGGGAAGTCGAGAATGCTGGGTTTGAAGTTAGGCATCTAGACTCAAAACACAACTATTACTGAAATGTTTCCTCATCTTAAAACCACGGATAAAAAAAAATCTACCTCTTTGCATATCTGAGTTAAATGAGATGTGCATAAAATGTCTGGCAAGTAAGAACTATGTTGCCATCATTAGCATCTTTGTTTCCATCATTACTTGCTATTTCTCTGTCCTGTGAGAGATACACCACTTAATCTACAGCTTTGGAAGAACATGCCTAGGTAGCCTCATCCGTAGTAACTGTGCTGCCTTAAGTCTGAGATGGAGACAGGTTTGGGGATCACAGAGCACTAGGGAACAGGTGAAGCTGAACCGGACTATAATCAGGGTGGACAGCTCCACTAGTTTCAAAAGACAGTTTCCTACCTTTACTGTGTAGTGTGAAGTAGATTTTCTGATGTCAAGAAAGTAAGGTGGCACTACCCCATACCCGACTCTCCGAACTAGAAATACAAACATTTAATCTTTATTGAATTTCTCTCAAAGGAAACCAAAGTATATTCCTGAGGGCTCCACAGTAAACACAGCCTCTCCATCTCACAGGTCCACTCCTCACAGTTCAGAAAGAGCAGATGGAAGAGAGAGGACGAAAAGACAATACCCTGCTTATTTCTTCAGCAGGTCTCATTATTGAGAGATCATGTCATCATCTTAGTTCCTTTAAATAAGTTTCAGAACTACTTTATATACCTTTCCAATACAATCGAAACCAGTGTTTTTCAGAGTATCTTTTTGTGTGTGTGTGGGACCCTCGCCTGTGGCCATGAAACAAACCGGCCATGCAGATGCTGCCTGCAGCTTCGCAGCCCAGCACTCAACCGCTGCGCCACCAGGGGAGGCCCATTTTCAGAGTATCTTTTAAGTCACCTAATATCTGAATGTTTAAAATGCAGATTCTGGGGCCTCTCTGGTGGCACAAGGGGTTAAGATGCAACCTATGAAGCTACCTGCAGTCACTGCAGCATGAGTTCGATCCCTACCTAGGAAGCTGACCCACCTGGCATAGCAGACCTCTCCTGTCTCCCCTCAGCAGTGTATTTAGTAGATTCGCCTGTTCTGCTCCCCACTGTCTCTGGTGAATCCTCTCACCCACCCACCCCAACTCTTGTATGCATAAATAAATCTAAAAAGTTTAAAAACAGTGCCTGACCCCGCAAGCCCCTAAACACAGTAGTATTTTGAATCGTTGGGTCCAATGGCCACAAATATCGGGGATATGGCTTTAATTCTTCTTGGCAGAATCTCTGGAATTTACATCCGTTTCCAATGACTATATACAAGAATCACGAAGGAACTAATGTTTTGCTGCACTTAAAACACAAACCAGGCAACAGGCTCTAAAAATGGCACATGTTGAAAGTGGATAACGTTCTCCAAATTGTTCAAGAAGAAAAGACAAGAATTTAAAACTCCCAAACTTTTGTAATAAAATAGGGCGACATTTAATATTTAATCATCCAGACCACAGAAAACAAGAGTAAAGCAGCAGGGTAGCGTGTAGTTGGGCTAGGGTACAAGACTCCAGTAAGGGCTCATCCTACCACTTTCCCTCCCTCTCAAAATCTGCATCTAAGGCAAGCCGAGTTCCTGAAATAGGAATCTGGCAATAAGGGGTGGTGGGGGGAGGTAGGAGTAACCATATGTAAAATGTCACTGTATTTGAAGCTCCCACCAGAGTATCAAGACAGGATACTTTCAGCAGGAGCAATGGCTGCGAGACAGGCTCCAAACTGAAGCCGTGTAAAGCGGAGAAAATAACTGGACGAGCTCACAATGCAGAAAAAGAAACCTGACAAAAATGGAGAAACCGATTCTGGAAGACCGTGTGCAACTCCCAAGGCAAGACTCAGGAAAATGTTTTGCCTCAAAAGAAAAGACCTAAATCAGCAAATTGGGGGGGTGGCCGGGAGGACAGAGAGGGAGCAGGTGAGTGAGAGGTGACCCGAATTACCACGGGAAGAAAGCCAGGCTTGGTGCACACAACATGGAATCCAGCTCTGGGCCTGCAGCAATTCAGGGGGCAGTTACCCATCTTCCAGTAAAGCCCAACGCCCTATTAAAAGGATTTAGCGTCTTGGAGAGCAGCTCCCTGAAAACCCAAGGGAGACAGACATTTGGGAGTCAAAGGATTTGGGGGGAGGGGAGAGGCGGTGGAAGTGAGTCAAGAGCAGCCTTCCAGGGGATACAATCATGTGACCTGCAGGCAGAGAAAGCCCGAGCAGCTCCGGAGAGGGAGGAAGCGCCCTCGGCTCCGCAATCCGGCCGAGCAGACGGCCGGGCGCCGCGGGTGCGCCCCGGCGGGGGCCGATCCCCGCAGCCGCCGCGTCCGAAGACCCGCGGCCTCGGGCCCGGAGCTCGCCCACGCCCCGACCCGAGCCCCGAGCGCGGGCCGCGTCCCCGGCGGGCGCGCGGGAAAAACGGCGGCCGGGCCGGAAAGGGGGCAGGGCGAGCGGGGCGCCCCCCGGGCACTTACGCGGCCGCTTCTTCCTGAGGCTCTCGACGCGCTGGCGGGAGGCCGGGGTGGCGCCGCCGTAGGAGCCCGGCCGGTCCCGCCTCACGCCCTCCCCCGCCGCCGAAGCCCCCGCGGCGGGCGCCGACGCGCTGCTCGCCCGGCGCCGCTGCGGCGCCCGCCGCCGCCCATCGGGCCCCCCGGGCGCCGGCTCCTGGGCCGACGAGGCGGCTGTGGCGGCCGCGGCCCTGCCGTGGCGCTCCATGGGCTCGCCGAGCCGGCCCGATCCCATCCGCAGCCGCCGCCGCTGCCGTCCGAGCCAGGCCCCCAGCGCCGGACCCCTCGTCGCCTCCGCCGCGGCAGCCCAGCCGGAGCAGAGGCGCACCCTCGCCCGGCCGCCTCTTCCGTTGCGCCAACGCGCAGCGAGCCAATCCAGACAGGCAGGGGGCGGACCACGGCCGCGCGTCCAATAGGCTTCCTGACTCTCGGCAGATCGACCGCGCCTCTATCCAATGAGAGGCTTCCGTGGCGGGCGGGCGGGCGGAGGGCGGCGGGGGAGGGGAGCGAGCCCGGCGGCGGTGGAGAAGGCGGGGTGGCTGAGGGCAGAGTGATGGCGGCGCCGCCCAATGGACGCGGTGCTGGGGGGGGCACCCGCCCCCACGGGGGGACCGGCCGGAGCCCCAAGGCCTTAGAACTCTCCCAGGACGGCGCCGCGCGCCTCTGAGTTCCGGCCCGAGCCGCCGCCAGGCCCGCTGTGCCCGGGCTGCGGCCGGTCGCGCCCGTTGGGTGGACTTGAACCGCCGTTGACCTTCGCCTTTGTGCCTCAGCCTGGCCCGCCGCGGCCGTCGAGGCCGCCAACCCCTCGGCGCTGTTTTTCGCTGCTACCCCCTTCCCCCACCACTGCCCCTGGCACGTTTGGGCTAAACCCCCTCCACTCCGCCTGCGCTGGAGAAATGTTCCTTGTACCAGAAGGATGCAAGGACTGGGGTTGGTCTCTATGGCAACTGGAAGAAAGCGGTGGCATATAAATCCCTCGCCCTCCTCTGTGGTGAAAGTGTGTGGGAGCCAGGAAGTGGGGTTGGCTTTTTGAAGGAGAGCCTGGATGGGCCCCCTCTTTGTGTGGAGCACCTGGGTATATTGAGCATCTTCCTCCCTCCTCTTTGGAAAAAGAAAATGGTCACCTCCAGCCTTTGATTTGTGCGCCTGAAAGCTTGACCTCTCACACCTACCAAAGGCCCTTCCAAGCATCCCTTCCTCAGAGGTTACCTAATCCTAGAATGATCAGTCCAGCTCTGTACCATCAAGTCACTCTCTCAGTCGAGTTTAACAAACTGTGGGCTTATCTTGCTTGCTAATTATTTCATAAGTGACTCCCCTGAGAGACTATAATATCCCTTGTGTGATAGCCCTATTTTCTTCACCCTTCCTGTAATGATTGCAAGTAGCAGGCTGAAGAAGATGAACTTCTCTACACGTTGAATAAAATTCTCATGCTCACTCCAAACTAACTCCCTTCACTGTATAGCTCTGGAAACCTTTTCTAACCCTGGAAATCTCAGCTCCTGCAGGAAGCCAGATGGATGCTACAAGAACCCAGATGGATCCTATAAAACTAAATGCAACTGTAGCTATTGTTCCAAATCTTAGTGGCCAGCATAGCTAACCTTTACTGACCCATCCTCGCCATTCCCCCAAAATAAGGTCCTCCTTGACCTGAAGGAGCTTCCATCCAAGTCTGTAAACTGATGGGTCATCCTGAAGAATCATCTGCAGTGGCCAAGATGAACCCCAATTATCAAAACAATACCTAAAACGTGTAACATTTACATTCTAAGAATTGCCTTTACATATCACTTAATTCTCACAGCAACATTTGGATAATTAGGCAACTTACAAAGATACACACCTTTTAAAATGAATAGTCTGGATCCCTGAGTTTAACTGCTCATAACCAAAAGGCACAGATTCAGAGAAAAGTCCAATAAATTATTGGAAGATATTTTTCTACTCTTAAATAGACCTCTGCACTTTGAACTCGCTGACATTCTGTATCCTTAAAGTCTATCCAAAATAACATGTGAAACGTGCTAATGGCAATTAGGCAAGAGGTTTATCACTGGACTGACTACAAATCAAAAATGTAAATAAACTGAATAAACCAAACGCAAAAGAATACATGCTGTATGGTTCCATTTATATGAAGTTCAACATTAATGAAATTGGTGACTACTTTTGGGTAAGGGAAAGAGCAGAAATGAGGGCATCAGAAAGGCATTCTAGAACGCAGATAATGTCAGGGTTCTTTGATCTTGATGGAGGTTACATGGGAGGTTACAAGTTTTCACTTAATATTTCATCAAAATGTTCATTTGATTTTTGCACTTTTCTGATGTGTTAAACTTAAAACTGATTTTTTAAAAAATGGAAGATTTGCATTGGAGCCAAGTAAACCATGATTAAGTTTAGGCTTTTTTCAAAAAAATGAAAATAGCAATTAAGTTTTCTATGCAGTTATTATAAAAGCTTACAAGGAGAGCATTATGCATTTATCACTTCTCTTGGTTATTTTCTCTTAGGGAGAAGCCAATTTTCCAGTGTGTACATCAGAATAAGCAAAGGAGTCATGGTAAGCATAGTGCTTCACAGGAACTAAATTCTAAAATGACTTGAAAATCTAGAGCCAGTCCAGTGATAAAACATACAAAACACACATATACCATATTAGTTACCCATTGCTAGGTTAAAAAAATCCCAAATCATACTGGCTTAAAAAAGTAATATTACGTGTTATCTCAGTTTCTGTGGGTCAAAAATTTGGGAGTGACTCAGCTGAGTGGTTCTGGTTCCATGGAAGTTGCAGTGCTTTGAATGCATACTGGCTTCCAAGATGGGTTATTCACATGATTGGTAAATTGGCAGGAGTTCTCAATTCCCACACAACTTGGGCCTCCATAGGGATCCTTGAGTGTCCTTACATAGCAGCTGGCTTCCCCCTGAGCCAGTGATCCAAGAGGAAACAAGGCAGAAGTGGCAATGTATTTTAAGATCTAGCCTGGAAAGTCATACTCCATCACTTCTACAATAAACCTTTTTATACAGATAAGCCCTATTCAACACAGATATATCCTTGTATAGTACCAAAGAGAATCATTGGAGACCATCTTGGAGCCCATCACCTGCTCACCAATAATTCATCTCTTCCTAACTTCTAATAGCTAGGTGACAGACACTGAGTTTCCACGGAATTTTCTTGCAATGAAAGTCACCGGGAAATAAAAACTAGAGTATGATCATAAATGCACCAGAGGTTTGTTTATAGACCAAATTCTCTCTCCTTTCACTAGACTTCAATGTGCCAGGGAAATGAAGGATGTAGATCAAGCTTCTTTCAAGTATAAAGCCTCTTTTCCAAAGTGCAGTGATGTGGAAATTGAGAAAACCTTGCCTGCTATCTCTCCCAAAGGACAAAAATATGAATAACAAAATTCTTAAGCCCCTTGACTTTCTTCCAAGGCTTGGCTCCTGACTCACGGTCCATTAGTGAAGAGGGATAGAAATATAGAGGGGTAAGAGTGTGTCAGTATAGCCAGCATGTGGCATTCTGGTAGACTCACCACCACTCCCAGGCAATCTGAAAGTGTTACCTGCTTTCACAAATAAGGCTCAACTTAGAACAGAGAAAGAAAATAAGATCAACTACAATGAGTTGAGTTTCCTAGCTGCAGATTCTATCCATTCTCAAGTATTTACAGGGTGAAATTTTCTCTTCCCTTTCAAACTTAAAGCCTTCCTTACCTTCAAGTAAATATTCCTGTTTTGGAGATTAGTACTAAACCCCTAGTAGTTTATCATGTACTAGTTATACGAAAAACAATCTGTGCTCAAATAAGTTTGGGAAATATAAACTAAAGTTAAATGCAACTTCTTAAAGCTTTTAATATGCTGAAGGGTATGATAAATGTCCAAAAGGCGTCTGAAGTCTATAACTGTACCAAATGTACTAGACCAGAGAACTATTTTCACACTATTTCTCTGAATACACTGAGAAATTCTTTCAGTATTAAAAAATCACTTGCAACTCTAATGCTAAAGACAATAAAGAGTTCTTTCCATTTTGAAAACTTAATGGCTAGTGTTGTTTTCACTCCCAAATAACCTCTCTGTAGAAGCCTGTCTTCCGAAAACAGGTTTGCCTCTTAATTCCACTTTCCTTAGTTCTCTGAATGATACTGCCATTTCTATTGCCCATCGTAACTTGGTTCTTTCCCTGTCATTTGCCTTTTTTTTGTGGGACCCTTGCCGGCAGCAAGGGAACTAAATGGCGCTGCAGAGGCCACAGGCAGCCCAGCACTCAACCGCTGCGCCACCAGGGGAGGCCCGCCCCTTTTCTTAAAGACAGCACTGTTTAATAGAAATATAATGCATCCAGGGCCTCCCTGGTGGCGCAAGGCGTTTAAGATGCAACCTGTGAAGCTGTCCACAGCCACTGCAGCACAAGTTTGATCCCCCAGCCAGCCAGGGAGAAACCCACATGGCAGCAGACCTCTCCTGACTCACCTGCTGCTCCCCTCAGCATTGTATTTCAGTCAATCTGCCTGTCCTGTTCCCCACTCTGTCTCTGGTGAATCCTCTCACCACCACCACCCCCCCCCCCAACACCTCTGGCCTATACTCCAGCTCTTTTATGAATAATTTTTTTTAAATTAATGTTTTTTTAAATTAATTTTTTTAAATTAATGTTCGCTAATAGCTACATTTTAGAAAAGTAAAAAATAGGTGAGGGAAGCAGGGCTATGAAGCCAGAGTTGCCACTGTCATATGTGCCTGGGTCTGGTCAGTGGTCAGAGCCAGGTCCAGGAGCGGCAGTAGGATACCGCAGTACGCTTGCACCCTTCTCAGCCATGCTTGGACAAACAAGGGGCCAGTCCTTGAGTTACAGTAACAGATTCAAGAATGAAGGTCACCTGAGTCTAGAAAAAACTTCCATGTATGAGTAACTCAGTAGGTGCCCTTGAGTCCGCCAAATGATGAGATTAGATGAGATTCTGCATCACTGTTCATCTCTTGAAACTTGTACTTCACCTGTGACAATATCCTGTGGGCTGGAAAGTCTGGACTCGAGTGGATCAGGAAAAGTGGGCTCAACGTTCACTCATGTACTACCCTGTTTCCCCTTATAAATGAGCTGTGATGCCCGTGGAGGCATCATTTAATAAAAGTCTCTGCACTTCACTTTGCTGGAGTTGCCATGGGAACCTGGCCATGGGTCCATATGACCAGTAGGGGGCTACTGAGAATTCTGGGCAAACAGAATGAGTCAGGACACCTCCTGAGCATGGAAGGCCCACCTAAACCAGACTTCCCAGCAGATAATAACCTGCAAAAACCACCTCCCCAGTCATGAAAAGCCCACCAAAACAGCTTGTAAAAGGGAGCCCTAAATCCTCCTTCCCATGCAGGTGCAGACTTCTCTCATCTTGCCCACTGCTTCTCTTAGTAGGGTATTTCAATAAATCCACCTTTTCTGTCCTCCACTGTCTCCGAATTCTTGCACCCCCATGACTCTGGCCTCATCTCAGTATTTTCCTTCCCACAACAATGCCTACTGATGGGACAAGAGTCTTCAGCTTGTAGGTGGCTGAGGGTTCTGCAGGAGTCCCAGGAGAAATTGAAACTGGGGCCCAGGAACTCTAGAAGGCCTACCCCAACTGGCTTTAAAGCTTCCGTGCTGGGGGCACGGATTCTGGCTCAAGTCCTTTGAGATTCCCTTTCCTCCCACCCTTCTGCTGGGTGTGGTAAGAAATGCCCATAATATTTACATTCCACTAGACAAACTAGGCCTCTGGCACTGTGCTCCTGGATTGTGGGGCTTTGTGGTGTATGTCTTCAGTCTTGTCCATTTTCATCTGAATCTGCCCTTGGCTGTGACTCAAGCCCTAATAGTCTAGTACGGGGGAAAGGAAGGAAACTGAATTGTTATCTTAGATCATCCCCTGCATGTCAGCCTCATTCTAATTCTACTACTGCTTGTTTGAGTTAAAATCCAGAAATTTAGATGTAGGAGGAACTCCATGGAAGATCAGGGGAGAAAAGGTAACTTGTGAAAATCATTCTAATATTCAGATATGCCAGAACTTTAACTACATCATCTGTTTTTCTTGATTCTTTTTATGTTCTCTCTTATGTCTATGTAAGATTCTGTCTCAGCATTTTAACTAAGTTCAGGAATTTAATCTGCAGAATGACTTTCTGGCCGGAGAGAGAGAAGGTGTGCTCTGTGAGGTCCTAACAAAAGGTGGCTTGTGGCAGATTTTTACCTCCTTCAAGCTCTAATTAGCTGTATACCAAGCACACCATGGAGAACAAGCCTTTCAGATCAAAGATCAATTTGCTCATTAAGAAAAACAGGTGAGGTTGATTTTAACCATATATATCCAATATACTATATTTCACCAGGTAAGGACATGTCTAGCCCATAGGAGAAGAATGCATTATCTGACTAGTAAATTCAGAAAGAGGAACGGGACATGCTTGGCTGCGCCCTACCCCCGCCTCGTAGGATTCTGGGCCTTGGATGTGTGCTTTCTGGTCTGCCAGCTCCCACCTGATAAGAGGCCCAGCTCTGTCGGGATCAGAGGAGAATGGAAATATTGTTATGACAAGACTGTCAAATTCAAGTCTTGAGCACGTAGCCATTGACACAAAACCATGTTTCTGACCGTTTCAGATGTTTAAAAAGATGGTATTTTGATCACTACCTGACATTGGTCTCAGCAGTAAAAGGGGTGTGGTGCTTTGGGTCCACAAACCTCAATACTCTGACTGTATCTGAGGCTTACCTCAAGGAGAAAAACTTAAGAGCTAGGACCTTATCACCTCTGCATTCTCTCCTGCACCCCAATAGATATGTGGTTGGCACAAAGTGATACAGCAAATGTAAAAGTAGAACTGACTTCAGATAAGGTAATTGGAGCAGGGCTATAATATGGCACCAGACTGCTCTAAACTAGAAGTCATTTGATGCCAATCAACTCTTGCCCAGGAGTCCCTTGATAAGGAACAGGTTAGTAATGGTGGAAGAACTCCTCAGAACTAGCAGACTTCCGGGAAAGCAGCTCAGCCCAGGCTGCATTCAGCAATTACCTGGGAGGTGGGGGAAGATAGCTAAGCTATATTCCAAATGAAGTTGGCATCTTTGGGGGTATGACCACAGCATCACTAGGGTGTAATATTCCCCAGGCATTTCCAATGTGCAAAGTCAAAACCAGTGTTCCAGAGTGGCCTTGCTTTGGTGTAATTAGTAGTTTGTAAGAAATGCAGAAGCTGGGGCCTCCCTGGTGGCACAGGGGGTTAAGATGTAACCTATGAATCTATCCCCAGCCAGGGAGGTGACTCACATGGTGCAGCAGACCTCTCCTGTCTCTCCTGCTGCTCCCCCCTCAGCAGTGTACTTCGGTCTGCCTATTCTACTCCCCACTGTCTCTGGTGAATCTTCTCACCCCCCACACCGCTGGCATGCACCCCAGTTCTTATATATGTAAATAAATCTTTAAAAAAAATGCAGAATCTCAAGTCTCATCCCAGACACATCTTATCTGCATTTTTATCAAGAGCACCAGGTGGCTCATATATGCATTAAAGTTTAAGAAGCACTTGAAGAGGGATTCTAGAGACAGCCAAACCTGGATTCTAATTCCAGCTGTACTAGTTGAGTGATTTGGGGCAAGCTGCTTAACCTAGCTAAACCTCAGTTGAATAACACAGTGGAACACATGCAGTCATCAAAAGGAATTGGAATTTGTAATATCTTTAAGTACTATGGAGTGATCCCACAACACTTTAACTGAAAAAAAAAAAAGTTTATATATGTGAAGCAGTTAGAATTGTTTCTAGTACCTAGGAAATGCTTAAATAGCAGCTAACTAAATTATGCTTAAATATTTTCTGTTGCGGGCCTAGCTGGTAGCTCAGAGAAAGAGGCAGGTGCCATGGCTCTGCTTTCAGGAAGGTACTTAAAGTCTCATACCATCAGGACCATAGAAGAAAAATGTAGACATTTCCAAGAATCATGAACCCCTACATTCTGATCACCAGAAGCTCTAGCTTTGCCCTGTTCTGTTCCATTTAGTGATTTCAGCTCATCCTGTACATGGTGGGAAAAAAATCCAGTGCCAGAGGATTCTCAACCAACTGACACAATGACCAAATTGTTTCAGTCGTTGTATGAACTGAATTCAGTCCAACAAAGACCTATTAAGCTGGGCAACAATACTTTCTGGGGTGCTACCGGGAACTGCAGAGGAGGTAGGAGGCCAGAAGGCCCTGCACTTGGCTGCCATGAACAAGACCTCAGAGAGCATCCTGGCTCCCGGCCAAGGAGGAGATTAAGTCACAGAAACTCAGAAAGGCAAGGAACGATGCCTATCGACACCCCTAAAGAGAGCAAGATTGCTGGGGAGTGAAGGACATTTTCAATTGTTGCTCTTTGTCTTGACTCAAAAAAAAAGGTTTCTTAGAAATGCAGTGCCCCTGAGAGTCAGCACCTGCCTTTACCAAGCCCTCCAGGGAATCTTACACCGAAGTTTGAGAAACTGGCTCACATATGGCTTAGTTTGGCGTTTTTGTTTTTGTTTTTAAAGCACAGGTATTTAAGTATTCTTTGTGTTAAAGCTGTCCTAAAGAGATTAGATTATAAGGAAGATGAAAATTCAGAGAGGAGATTGACATCCCCCCAACCCCTCGCACTGGGTGGAAAGGAAAGAGTCCACTAAGCCAGCCAGGAATGTGCCGGCCAGGCGGCCACAAATTGCAGAACTGAGGAGCTTGTCTCATGAGTAGAAGATCCCCGACAGTGGTGGAAGGGGGTAGGAGCAGGGGGTGGGGGCACTTCATCCAGAGGCCAGGATAAGCCCTCCAGATTGCAAGCTGTTTGCATTCACCTCAGCAGCCTCACAGCCCTGCCTTTCAACCACAGGTTAAATAAAGGAATTGTTACAGGATCTTAAGTTCTGGAAATAGTGATAACAATTAACTGCAGAAGAGTATCCATGAACCCACAAATTCGAAGGACTTTGTCGTGTCAGCAAGTAAGGAAAAAGTAATTCTTGCAGCAATTACCACTCTTCCCAGTTCCTTGGAGAAGCTGCCTGCAAGAAGCCGATGCCCAGCTGCATGTGATTATGAAGGGATTTTTCTTTCTCATTTTAAATATAAGCGAATTGATTAAGCAAAACAGTGTCTGATTGCTAGAAAATCAGCAATTCAGCTAGTATGACAGTGGCACCTGAGGAAGGGGAGGCAGGGGATAAGAAGAGAAAAAGCTGACGGGGTCTGCCTGTGCAGGGACACTCAAAGGTTGAGGGATCTGAGCTTTGACATCTGGTCCAGCCTCATGGGTTAAGGGGCCAGGAGGGTAAGGAGAACCAGGAGTTGGTTATGAACCCAGAGCTTCCTCCCCTTTGCCAATTCTCCATCCCCCCCCCCACACACATACCCGAAGCTCTTCCTCCCCTTCTCCTGCCTCGGAGCTACCTTTCCAATATGTATATTTTACTTAGTAAAAAGTTGTGGGCTGGCGTTATTTTTGGTTTGGGTGTTCTTTTTTGGTGGAACTTGGGTAGGCCCAAGGGTGGGGAATGAGAGGATTCACCAGAGAGCGGGGAGCAAAACAGATTTACCGAAATACAGCTAAGGGGAGTAGCAGGTGAGACAGGAGAGGTCTGCCGAGCCCTATGTGGGTCAGTTTCCTGGCTGGAGATCAAACTCAGGGATAGCACTGAGACTTAACCCCTAGACCACCCCGGAGGCCCCAGCTTAGTTGTTTCGTATAAAACTACAGTAAGTAGAAAGACCTGCAGTATGGATTTTTAAAATGTAGGCAAGAAGGGCCTCCCCTGGTGGCGCAGCGGTTGAGCGCTGGGCTGCGAAGCTGCCCGCAGCCTCTAAGGTGCAGGTTCGATCCCTGGCGGGACGAGGGTCCCACATGGTGCGCAGACCTCCCCTGCCGCCTGCTGCTCCACTCAGCAGTGTACTTCATCGGTCTGCCTGTTCTGTTCCCCGCTCTGGTGAATTTTCTCACTCTCCCGCGCTTCTGACTGTACCCAGTGCTTGTATAAATAAATCTTTTAAAAAAATAAAATGTAGGCAAGGAAATGAGAGTTTACATTGCAGGGTTGGAGGCAAAACATGGAATTTAGGCAGACTCAGAGGGAGATAGTCAAAGAAGGCTTTCCATAGAAGCTGGGTTTAAAATCCAGGCCTTAAGAGAAATCAAGAGGCTGGTGGAGATAGCTCAGTAATGACTAGCGCAGAGCCCTTAGCCCTCAGAGCTGGCCGCTGGCTACTCCCCCCAGGGAGTGATGGGGAGCTGGAAGAAGCACCCCCACCCCCTGCTATTCCAGCAGTGGAGGCCCCTCAGCCGCCCGGCAACACAAACGGACAGTGGCCAGAGCACGGAGAGAATGCTGAGCAAACCCTCTGCCGTGTGACCGGCCTGGGAAGGCAGAGCATGGTCTCTGCAGCGTCAGCCCCGGTCCGTGGGGCTTGGCAATGGCTACCAGCTTCCTCCCAATCCCCAGCCACTGCTGCTTCTGTTCCAACTCAGGACTAGCTAGAGAAAGCCTCATGTTCCCCAAGCCAGTCCCAAGAGATCTTTCCCGCAGCCAGCCTCCACTCACTCCACACCCGAAGCTTGCCCCTTCTTTCCTTCCCCCTCGAATTTCCCGCTCCCCGCTCCATCTGCAACCCTCCCCACACAAAGCCAGGGATGGTGGCGGAGTCTCTGGCCGGCTCTATGCAAACTTAAGCCCCTCTTTTCATTTGGGCGCTCCTGGTTATCCACAGCTCTAGCAGAAAGGACACAAACTAAACCCGCCTCTTGTTTCCCCGAATGTTCTAGCCATTATGAAAGAAAAGCTTGGAGTCCTTAGCATTATCTTCGCAGAGTTTATAAGTGTAAGCAGAGGAAAGGAGACAGCAGCTTAAACCCCCTTTCCCCAGGCTGACGCTGCCCTTTTATCCCCTCCCTCCAGGCTCAGGCGTGCACACTTGCACATGCGCACACACCCATGCGCAGGTGTCCACAATCAGGCTCACGTGCCCCACACCACACACTTTTGATGTAAACAAGATCAAGCCACAGGTGTAGCCACAGGGGCCAATGGCGTAAAATGCCTGACCAACTTCATTTACCCTATACTTCTCAGTAGGGCTCAGCTATTAGGGTTCGGTGAGTGGGGTCCTTGGATCCCTCTAAGAAAGATTTTGGCAGTTTCCTCATTCATTAAGGAAAAAGACATTTGAATAGACAGGCAAAGTCTGCATTTTAAAGGCTTATTAGGAAAATGGGGAGGGGAGAAGGCTCTGCCCAGCCACAGGTGCATCATCTTAGGGGCCAGATCTGCATTTTGCCAGAGCAAGGGGTGTTTTTATATAGTGTTCTTTTTTTGGGGGGGGGTCATTCCTTAGTGGAATTTTATTGCTTTGGGGGCAGGTTGGGTTGGTATACTGTAATTGATAATCCTTTCTGCCCCTACCTCAGATTCCTGGAAAATCCATCAGCCAGTTGAAGGACTGGTTGATCACCCCTCCACCCACCTCTGGCAGTTATTATACATCTGATCAGATCTGACCTTTCATTCTAAATTTTCTACTCTAAGTTTCTACCACTTATGACAGCCACACCCAAAGCAGGGGAAGGAACTGCCCCCTCGCCCCAAAGGTCCCTCCCAACCTCCCAAAGTACCCACTCAGACTTTCAACACCATGGGCTACTTCTGCATTTTCTTCTACCTTATAAGAATGGATCACACAGCAAGTACTCAGTGTGTGTGTGCCGACTGCGTTGCTCCACATCCTTCTTAGGACAATTATTTATGTTGGCTCCTGTAGAGGTATTGTCATTCATCGTCTTGCTGACTACTTCTTCACTGTGTGACTTTATCTCGACTTACCTACCCATCCTGCCGTGGACAAACATTGGGTTGATTCCAGTTGGGGCCTATGACTGGCGCTGTGACAAACACTCCTGCACGTATCTTGTTTCTGCTGTGTCCACAGCCTGGCAGACACTGTGTGACAGGTCTTACATATGTTCAGCGTTAATAGAGACTGTTAGTTTCCCCACAGGGCTTTTATCAACTCTCCCTCAAATGTTTGGGGTGGGGGGTGCCCTCCCTCGTGGCCTAGGAGTTAGGCCTCAGCACTATCACCACTAAGGCCTGAGTTTGATCCCAGCCAGAGAGCTGACCCACATGGTGCTGCAGACCTCTCCTGTCTCACTTGTTGCTCCCCTCAGCAGTGTATTTCAGTCAATCTGCCTGCTCTGCTCCCCACCCTGTCTCTGGTAAATCGTCTCACCCCCTGCACCTCTGGCCTACACCCCAGTTCTTCTACGCAAAAAAAGTTTATGAGTAGTTCAGTTACTGAATAATTTGTATATTTTCATCAACACATCATCTTGTCGGACACATCCATCTGAGGCTGATGGGTGCATTTGTAAGTTTTAAATTTTTTCTTAATCCCTATAGGTTAGCTGTTTTCCTGAATTTCACTACTATAATTATATGTCATTATAATTTTTTAGTTATAGTAATTATTATCTGATCAAAACACACTATCCCTTCCCCTCCCATCCTGAGCAGCTTCCCGAAAGTTCCCTTAGGCCACTCATTATTGTACTGCAGACAACGGGAGGAGGAAGGAGGCTCTAAGGGCCCATCTTTGCTTTGTAGCATTGTGTCTCAGTGCTCTGAACCCAGTAGGTGTCAAACAAATATTTGTTGTATAAATACATCGAAGAATGCTATGAAAGTCTTTTGGTTACCACCACACTTTGCCAGCCATCCCCAACTTCTAGAGGGCACGCAGCTCTTACTCATTTTATGCAAACACAGGGGAATCCTTTAATAAGCAAGGTCTGCCAAACTGAACTGGCCTCTTGAGAGTGCTGGCTTTTGAGGCTTGTGCCCCTGCCCTGCCTCACACAGCCTCAAGGCATCGAGTAGAGGTGTGTTGGTGGGAAAAATCTCACTTTACCTGGGCTCCAGGCTCCAGACACCCAATCAGCTGTGGATCAACGGCACTGAGGCCATCCAGCTCTGGAGCTCAGGGATCAGTGTTCCTTTCTGGTTGCCCACCTCTGGTTATTCCCACTAGCTTACAAACTGGGTTACCCCTTTCATAAGGTCATTGTGAGGATGGAAGGAGTTAATGTGTGAAAGCACTTAGCCCAGCACCTGGCACACAAGGGCGGGGTCCTCGTTAACAACCGTAATAGGAGGGAAGAAAGCTGGCTGGGGTGACCACAGTTCAGCTGCTTCAGGGCCTGCAGCTGGGCTAGAGTGAAAGGGCAGAAAGGTGAGAATGGGGGGGCGTGTGATTTGTTTCCACGGAGTTAATGCTTCCACACTGCTTTCCCCAAAGGTGGGGCTGTTCCGTGGCCATCAGCTTCAGGATGGTGCTTCAGCAGAAAGCCAGGGACATCAAGGCCCGAAGACTCCATTCCCAGGAGACTCCTAGAAAAGTAGGAGACATGTTGTGGTCTGAGTCTGACCCAGAATGGAAATTTCTGCTTCTAGAAGGGCTCTGACAGGGTCCAGAGGAAGCCGCTAGTTCAACAGGGCAAACTGCACTGGACGCAGCCATCAATCATCACCCCTCTGGCACAGGGCAGTGGTCAGACAGCGCCAAGGAGCTCACCCATGGAGGGACTTCCTTTAATCCTCTCCCATGACAGGGTCCCAGTGTGGCTCCTACTTTTAACTGGTTCAAGAGGGGATGTCAGGCCTCCCTGGTGGCGCAAGGGGTTAAGCACCACACTATGAAGCAATCCACAGCCTCTGCAGCACGGGTTCGATCCCCGACCAGCCAGGGAGCAACCCACATGGCGCGGCAGACCTCTCCTGCTTCCCTTAGCAGTGTACTTCGGTCAGTCTGCCTGTTCTGTTCCCCACTCTGTCTCTGGTGAATCCTCTCACCCCCCACATCTCTGGCCTGTACCCCAGCTCTTGTATGCATAAATAAATAAATCTTTTTTAAAAAAAAAAAGAGAGGATGTCACCCACAGAGGCCAAAAGGAGCATGCCCCACTGTTACCTAATGCTGCCTCAGGGGGAAGCAGGGCCTTGGTCACAAATGCTCCCCCCCAAGTCTGCCCCTTGGCTTTCTGAACCTCATACTCTCTGACTTACAAAAGGAATTGGTCCAAAAAGGGAGGGGGGGATTAGTCAAGGGTGAATAGGACTGGCCATGAGTTCATAATTATTAAAGCTCAGTAATGGGCACAAGGGACATTATTCAGTTTTTAATACTTCGGTGTTTATGTGAAAGTTTTCACAATAAAAAATGTTACTTAAAAGAAGCTATGAATAGGGGGCCTCCCTGGTGGTGCAAGGATTTAAGATGCAAGCTATGAAGCTATCCATAGCCACTGCAGTATAAGTTCGATCCCCAACCAGGGAGATACCAGGCACAGCAGACCTCTCCTAACTCGCCAGCTGCTCCCCTCAGTGGTGTATTTCAGTCAGTCTGCCTGTTCTGTTCCTCACTCTGTCTCTGGTGAGTCCCACACCTCTGGCCTGTACCTCAGTTCTTATATGTGTAAATAAATAAATCTTAAAAAAAAAAAAAAGCAGCAGCTATGAATAATCCAAGGCCTGGCAGGGTATAGGATATCTTCCTGATCTTTCACTAAAAAATTCCCCTAAATCTGATAAGGTGAGGGTGAGGCACTGGTCTGGCTTCACTGGACCTGCAGGTGTTTCCCAAGGAGAGACAGCAGTGGTGCGCTTATGCTTTGAGGGAAGCATTTCAGCAGGAGGCAGATGGTAGAGGGATTTATACGCAAGTAACTGAGCTGCTGGTAAGTCTGCCCCTAGTGCTTAGGATGGCACTGGGTCCCCTGTCCCACCCCAACCATTACCCCAAGGCGAAGTGTGCTTCCCCAGGTCTAAGTGTAGGGGCCCACACAGGTTCCCCCTCCCTTCTTTGGTTCTGGCCTCATGGTCCAGGCCGTGGCTGTGAGGGGAACCTGCCTGGCTCTTCCTCCAACACATTCCCTCCTGTAGCTGAAAGCAGGCCCCTGACATCAGACATTCCATCAGCGACCCCAAGCTGTCCCCAGGCCATCAGCCTCCATACACTGGCCAATTCCCAAACTCGCTTAAAGATGAAGTTGGCCCTTTAGAGACCGCCAGGTTGATCGCTGTTGAAATAGGGGGACTGTTCAATGCAGGGCTAGTCAGTGCTTTTGGGCAGCATGATCGGAAACCTGCAGGAAGGTCCCCACACACCTTATCCAGAGGTAGCTCCTACAACAGCTGATCATTTTGCTTGAAATTCCACCACTGAAGTGTCATGCTTTGATGGATACAAAGATACTTGTTCCCAAAGCTACTGGGGAAGGAATTGTTCCTGGATCTGAGTTGCTGGAGGGAGGGAAAGCACAGAGGGCTGATTAAGAGCAAGGGTAATAGGAAATGGAGCAGGTTGTTTGGGCAGGGATGACTTCTGGTTTCAGGGTATATAGGTTTTTGGGTTCTGGGCAAGGGGGAAGAGATCAGAAATAGAGGAAGAGGTTATTAGGTTGCTGAAGCCCCCTAGGGCAGTGCCAAGGCTGTAGCAGTTAAAACAAGGTACAGAACCCTATAGACTGGCAGCTTGGGGGTAGGCCACGGTGATGCCCACCCCAGATATCTCGCCAGGGCTGTAGTCCAGGTCCCTTACACAGCTGCAAAGTGGAAGCAGGTCCTAAGTCTCCTCTGCCTATCATTTCCGGCCATGAGCACCTGAAAAGAACCCATGAGAATATCCCTAATTCATCTGGCTGCTGGGGGGTACCCAGCTTCTACTCTGCAGATTGTCCTAGTGGACATGCTTCTCTCTCCACCCCCAGAATTCTCTAATGCACAAAATAATGTAAGGAGAAAATACCAGGCAGGAGGTAGGGGCAACAGGATGCAGGTCTGCTTCTAAAGTTGTAGCCCTGAGTTCTCTTCCCTCTACTTTTGAGCAATGATAATAACCACGTTTCCAATCTTTAGTAAATGCCAGAAAACATTCTAGAATTTATACAGATAAACTCGTTTAATCCTCAAACACTAGGAGAAATATGTAATTTACTACTCAACCCCATTTTACAGATGAAAAAACTGAGGCACAGGAGGCTAATACCGTGGCCAAGAGCATAAAATTAGTGGGAAGCAGGGCAGGATGAGGCCAAGGCCACACTACACTGCATCTCTGGAGGAGATACCCCCATCCGGGCTTTGTCCTTGTTTGCCTCTCGTGCCCTCTTTTCAACCAGGCTGAGCAGGGGAGAGGTGGAAGCATTTAGTGGCCAAGCACTCTGGGCAGGGCCCTTGACAAGCAGCTGTTCGCGCTAGTCTCAGAAGAAACTAGTGAAGGATGAGCCACGACAATCACTGGCCATATTGGGCAGCAAAATGAGAAAAGTCTGACTCTCTGCCAAGAACACACAGCAGAGAAGAGCTGAAACCCAAACCCTACAGGGGCCTCTACCTTATAGGGAGCTAAAGAAAATGGAAACCAGGAAGGAGGGAAAGAGGCAGGTGAGGAGGAGGGAGGGGGCACCCAAGGTGTTCCTCAGACCTAGCAGTTGCCTTGGTCTTCCCAGGATCCAGGGAAACTCCAGACCTCCAGACCTTCTCTCTCTCTCCCTCTCTCCTGGCAGAGGAAGGAGACCTGACAGGCAGGGTTTCTAAGCAGCAGAGTCCCTGGAGACTGGCCACCCTGCCATTCCTGGGAAAGGGCCTCTGGCTCCGTCACTGGAGGCTGGAGGGAGGTTCTGTGGTCTCCCACCCAGCAGATCTGCTGTCAGCTTCCAGGGCGGGCGGGAGTGTGGGGAGTAGGGAGGGGCACTGCCAACCCCAGGACTGTGGGACTCTCTCATGGCACCTCCTGATGCACAGGCTTGAGCAAACAGGGATAAAGCCTGCCTGGGGTCACCTCCCTCACAGAACAAGGGCGACAACCTGGACTGCCCAGTGGGCATGATCAGGAGCACTTCCCAAGGGTCCAGAAAGCCTAGGGTGGTGAGGGTGCTGAGTAGAGCACCAGCTGGAAATGCTGCTTCCCAGGATTCAGTCCAGCCTTTGTACCACCTCCTGCCAGGCCTGCAGGCCCTGAGCCCTGCTCTCACGCAGCCCAGTGAAAGGACAAAGTGGCAGGACAGCCTGGCTCCAAGTCTCTGGCTGAAGCACGGAAGGGAGGGGAGCCAATGCGTGGCGAGGAGGGCTCACAGGCTTCTCTGGAGCAGGCGCCGCCGGTACAGCACGGCCAGCAGCCCAGCCAGCAGTGCCCCCACGGTGGCTGCCCTGAGCCATGAGGCCCAGGAGGCCTTTGCCTTCGCCTCCTCTGGCAGCTGCCCCTTCTGGAGGTTCAGGGCACCTTGCTGCCGGGAGTTGCCAGCTAGCAGGTCGGCACTGGCGCCCTCTTCCACATGGATCCTGATGCTCTCCAGTGTCTGGTACTCGTTCTCCTCTGGGGTGTTATCACGTCCTGTGTTCAAGGGGGTGCTGTAGCTAATGGCGAGGTCCCCGGAACAGCCAGAGAACGAGCTGTCCAGCCGGGACATCAGCACATCAGGCTTGCTCAGCTCCAGTTCTGGGCTCCAGCTGCCAGCACTGCGGTCAGGATGGGGAGAGCTGCCTCCAGTCATAGCACCTGTGGGTACTGGAGACGCTGGGGTCTCCTAAGAAAGAAAGGAGGGGCTGACGGGACAGAGGATGGCAGGGGACAAGCCAGGTCAGGCAGTCCGATTCCCAGGCCAGGGCATGAACTGGCACCCCCATCCCCCAATTCCCAATCCACACGGCCTGTGAGGCCACCCTCTCTTGGGGCTCAACTCATTGATGGTGCAGAAGGGCAGGGGTGAGGAGAGGACCAAGGCCTTGCAACCATATCGGTGGTGACCTCACCCTTACTCTGGGGGGCGTTTGGTGGCATGTGACCCCATCCCACTTCAACATACTGCCTGGGTCTGAGGGGCCATGGAGTGGAGATGGGGTCAGAGGCCTGACCATGCCCATGGACTTGGTCCCACCAGGAAGACAACAGCAGGAGGGTTAGATGTGAGGGCTCACAGGAGGCAGATGGGGAAGGCTACCGAGTCAGAGTGGGGCTGCAGGCTAGAAAGGCCGGGTACTGTCTGAAAAGCCTGGCTTAGAGGGGCAGGCACCGTCTGCTGGTGAAGAGCAGAGAGGCCACTCGGCTCTACTCCTCACAGCTTCTTCATCTGCAAAATGGCACTGCTAAGCTAAACAGGGAGCTCTGCGGTCTAATTGGGTTAATGCACATGACCAGGGGAACCGAGTTGTCCTGCTTGGTATGAGGGTCTGGGTGTGACTGGTTCTGAGCCATCTCTATGCCTTCATAAAAGGTCCAGACAGACAAGGGTGGGAAGAGTCCAGAGTCAGGGCTGGGGGAAAGGACCAGGATCACTGCTAGGAGAAGACTCACCTCTGTTGGTCTTTTACTGCTCTTGATGGTGGGCACTGTGTCGGCAGATGCCTTGCTGGGCACTGAGCTCATGGGCATCCTGTGGTCAGGCACCAAGCTGGTAGGCACTTTGGGTGACACTGTGCCAGCACGAGCTGAGTTGATGGGCAATTTAGATGCTGGTAGACTGGTGGGCATGTTAGTGGTCATTGTACCAGGGGGCTTTGAGCTGGTGGGCCCCTTGGAAGGCACAGCACTGGTGGTCAAAGAGCTGGTGGGCAACTTGGAAGGCACTGTGTTGGCAAATGCTGGGTTGGTGGGCCCCTTAGAAGACACCATGCCAGTGGTTGAAGAGTTGATGGGTAACTTGGAAGGCACGGTGCTGGTGGTCATAGAGTTGATAGAGACCCCTGGGACACTGGAATAGATGGCATCCTCAACTGGGTCACTAGCACCCCCTACAGAAGAAAAGCCAGTGGAAGGGGGGGAGATGCCGGAATAAGGAGCTGACACTGGGGGTCCAGGCAAGCGGCTTGCCCTGGGGTTGGGACGGGCCAGAGGCTGGAAGGAGACAGTAGGAGAAACAGGCCCACGGGGTGATGTGAGACCAGAGGCCACGCCTACAGATGGCAAGACAAAAAGGGAAACACAAACCTGTAAGGCTGTCATACTCAAATCACAGTCCTCAGGGGACTGGAGAGAGGCCCACTGCCCCAGCTCATACTGTCCCTACTGCCACCCAGTCTCCCAACCTCCCAACCCTTAGCAGTAGGAGGTTGTTCACTGCTCCCAGGTCTGAAGGCCCAAAACAGCTGCAGGCACATCCCGGTCCTGTCTGTCCTGAGTCCTTGACCTGCAGCCTGAATCTGCTCTCTCATAAGAGTGAAATGGCCCCTCCCTCTAGCAGCGTCCACAAGCTTGACGAGCGCTATTTATCTTTTGTTCTTTTTCTTGTCCTGCCTGGGGTGCCTCTCCCATCTCCTCATTAGCCTGGTGGAATCCTGGCTGCTGCTGTTGCCATCTTCCACCCCCAACCCCAGCACGATCAGGTCTGGTCCAGAGCAAGGGCCCAAGCAGAGGAGCTCACGACAGTCCTGGGGCATGGAGGCCCGGCCAGCCACCAGCACGTACAGGTCTCCTAGGTCTAGGGATGGGGGTGGGGGCAGTGGGGGCCCGAAGCCACTCCTGGGAGGAGGGTCTGAACTGGGGGAGCAGGTAATGAGAGTTCGTAAAGGCACTTATATCAGGATTCCCCATGGAACTCTGAACACTCACGAGACAGGCTAACGAAGGTCAGGCGTGATTCTGATGCACCCCCCTCACCTCCTCCTCCTGCCAATCTAATACCAGAGTCTTGGGGGACCTCTGTCCACGCACATACTGAAATCTAAGTGCCCTTCGCCGCCCTGCTCCGTGGCAGCATTTCCTGAAAGGTGTTCCATGGCGCGCGGTCATTGCTGAGGACTGCAAATGGAGACGTGAGTCACAGTTTGAGGATGACAGGAGCATGGGGCACTAAGATGGCTTAACTGCTCGCATGTCTGGTGTCAGGGGGAACACTTTTTGGGAAACAGTGGTGCAGAGATGCCCCTTGGGAAAGTCAGAGTGGGCAGGTCTATGTTCCTGAACACTGAAAACTGGTGTTGGGGTCCAGGCCCCTGGCTGATGAAGACCATACTTCCTTGGGGGCTGAGAAGATAAGTGACAGAGCTAGAGAGATGGGAGCTAGAGGCTCCTTTGGGGCAAGGCAGGGCCTAAGGGCCTCCCTGCCAACAGCTGGCAGCCCCATCCTCTGCCTCCTGCACTGTCCCATAGATGCTGGAAGGTCCCTACAGAGTCCCTTTGGTAGCGAGTGGACATGGCCCTAATTCTCTTCCCTTACCACCCATGCCCTCTGCAATGTGACTTGGTTAGTCCTCTCATCTAGGGAGGAAGTCTATTCCCCTAGTCATTTCCTTTTTCTTTTCTTACATCATCAGTCACCTTTGCACAGTAATTGTTCCCCTTAGGTACAGCCCTCCTGCCACCATTCCACCCTCAAACAACATCCACCCCCTCTTGTGTCTCTGATCACTCAGACTCCTCCCTCACTGCACACCCCAGATCTATGGTCTTGTCCTTTTCCTTGTTCCCCTACTCCTTGACTCTTGGGCTGGCCTTGAAACTGACAGGAGGAGGTGAGGGGGGTGCATCAGATTCACGCCTGACCTTCGTTAGCCTGTCTCGTGAGTGTTCAGAGTTCCATGGGGAATCCTGATATAAGTGCCTTTACGAACTCTCATTACCTGCTCCCCCAGTTCAGACCCTCCTCCCAGGAGTGGCTTCGGGCCCCCACTGCCCCCACCCCCATCCCTAGACCTAGGAGACCTGTACGTGCTGGTGGCTGGCCGGGCCTCCATGCCCCAGGACTGTCGTGAGCTCCTCTGCTTGGGCCCTTGCTCTGGACCAGACCTGATCGTGCTGGGGTTGGGGGTGGAAGATGGCAACAGCAGCAGCCAGGATTCCACCAGGCTAATGAGGAGATGGGAGAGGCACCCCAGGCAGGACAAGAAAAAGAACAAAAGATAAATAGCGCTCGTCAAGCTTGTGGATGCTGCTAGAGGGAGGGGCCATTTCACTCTTATGAGAGAGCAGATTCAGGCTGCAGGCCATAGATTGAGAAAAAGGAACACGGTTTAAGCCTCTGCCTCAGGAGTCCCCACCCCTCTCTCAGAATCTTAGATGCCATTGAACCTTGCTCAGAAACGAGCTTGTCTGCTAGAGAATGACTCATAAAAGAGAAGCACAGTGCCCCCACTGACAGCTGTACGCTGTGTGTACACAAGAGGGAACGCAGCCAAGATCAGAACGGCCCAAATTGCCAGCACAAATTACTGACCCACAGATTCATGAGCTAAATAAATAGTCAAGTTTTAAGCTACTAACTGTTGGGACTGTTTGTTACCTAGCAAACACTAACTAATACACCCTCTACGGAAATGGGTTACTCCCTGGGTGAATGCTCTTTATTCCCACCCTTGCCTCCTGTTAAGGAAGCTGGGGGGGGGGCACTCTCACCCCCACTCTCCCTAGAGGTCAGAGAGGCCCTATAACTCTGGATTCCATGCATACCTGCCGTGTGGGCACTGCTTGGTTCTGTGTCCTGCTCCTGGTGTCCACCAGAACTTAGAGGTCTGCGGGCCGCCATGTCAGAGGTGGGCTCCTGGGGGTCGCCTGACTTCCTAAAATCAGTTCCAGAGCTAGATGTCTGTGAGGCTGTCTTTGAATCCTACAAGGAGGAAAATTTGAATAAGGCAATCACATCTCCCAGGGGCTGGCCAAGGGCAGCATACCATGAAGCCATACCATGAAGCACAAGCACCAAGGAAGCTCTTGCCTCAGCTTTGGTCAGTCAGACTATCTGTCTATAGGTGACTATGAACCCACCTCATAGAAAACACACACATGGGGAGTTCCTGTCTATCTCTCTGGCTCTATAGAAAGGTCTCCCTTTCTGTGACCACTGCACAAACCTCTTGGGCTTCATGGGCTTTAAGTCCACAGTTTGGTGCTCCTGGACACCCCACTGTCCACTCACATCCCAAAAGAATCACTCATCTTGGGCCTCCCCTGGTGGTGCAGTGGTTGAACACCGGGCTGCGAAGCTGCCCGCAGCCTCTGCAGCGCCGGTTCGATCCCTGGCCGCCGGCAAGGGTCCCCCATGGCGCAACAGACCTCTCCTGTCTCACCCACTGCTCCCCTCAGCAGTGTATTTCGTCAGTCTGCCTGTTCTGTTCCCCGCTCTGTCTCTGGTGAATTCTCTCACCCTCCCACGCTTCTAACTGTACCCAGTGCTTATATAAATAAATAAATCTTTAAAAAAAAAAAAAAAAGAATCACTCATCTTTCCCCAAGACTTGATTAGTGCAGCTCTACTACCCAGCCCCTACCCCATCCCTCCTGTTTCCTCGCACTCCCAATGACCTTGTCTGGTCATTTCCTGGCCCCTCCACTAAGCTCAACATCTCTCACCGACCACTGCGAAGACCCAAAATTGTGCCCTCACAGCTGGTGAGGACAGAGATAGGAGGCTGCCACAGAATGACGCCCTGGTTGGCAGTCTGGGCTGGGCTGGGACAGATCCGTGCTGGAAAAGACCTGGGGTTCTGAGCAGAGATTAGGTGAGATTTGTGGGGGCTAGGAGAGGGCTTCTGGAAGACTGGGACAGCATAAGTGGACAGACAGGAGCACAAATGTAGGGGCCCAAGGTAGACTGCGAGGAGGTACCTCTCCCAGGAACTGTGGTGACTGGGAGTCCTGGACAGGAACCAGGCTCCTTAACTCTTCTCTGTAGCCATTGTGGGCAGTGCTGGGAGTCGCCGAGGTTGTGGAGGGCCCTGGAAGCTTGGCAGGAACTGATGCTGGCTCCCTTGGGGCTGGGGGGTGAGGACAAAGGAGGAACATGGTCAAGGAGGAACAGGGTGCTCCCAGTAACAGGAGAGACCTAGTGAGTGCTCTTGGACCCTCAGATCCACGGTGACTGGCTGCCCACTACTCCAAAAGCCACCCTGAGGTGGGAGGCACTCCTCGGAGGAGACAAGCTTCTCTTCAGCGGAAGCAGGGAGCAGCTGGGGAAAATAAGGAGAGGTGGGAGGAGCGAGAGGGGAAAGAAGAACACGTGAGCACCCATGGGTCTTTCACCCAGACTGGGTCAAGAGTCACCACTCCTCCACCCCAGGCATCCTGGGCCCAGCGGCTTTCGCCCCCTCCTGCACTCACTGACTGACACCTGACCTGCTGCTGCCTCCCCAGCTCCCGCCGCCACCCGCCCCTCTGTACTCAGGGTATCTGTGTTAATGTCCATAAGTGACGAAATGTCTAAGGGAGGGAGGCGAACGTAGAGATATCCTAAGGCTATAAATCTGAGCCGGGTCAGGCATTGCCTCTGGTCTGCAACATAAACCGGGCTGGCCTGGTCTTTCCTCCGGGCTCAGCCCCTTGGATCGCCTCTTGCCAGCTTGGGCGGGCAGGGAGTGTTGAGAGGTAACTGAGAGGCTGGGGTGGGGCCCTGGAAGGCTCTAGGGGAAACCAAGGGAGGGGAATACATGAGGGGGAAGGAAGGCAGGAGCCTATGAGGGAGCAAAGGAAGACAGTGGCGAGAGGGAGGGGGTGAGATGGGAGCAGAGCAGGAAGGTGAACCAAGAAAGGGGAGACTGGAGGAATGAGAAAGGGGCAGGCCTCTGATGTTACAGCCACAAACACTTGAGGAGGCTCCACCTGCCGAGCACACGCGAAGTGCCCAGCCCGACTAAGCCACCGTCCCGTGGTACCACACAAGCTGGATGTTGCCACTAAGCCCCATTTTACAGGGAAGACTGAGGCCCAGGAAAATTAAGAGACTTTGTCAAAGGGACACAACAAGTGATGGAGCTGGGGTCTACACCAGCTTTGTTCATTCCCTGAAGTGACGGGAGGGAGGGTGACAGAGCATTAGGGATGCCGGGATGAGGGGACAGGACGCGAGAAGGGCCAGGGCAGGAGGCTCACGGAGTAGAAAGCTCTGGTAGACGCTGGCCACTTCGTCGGCAAGCTCGGTCTTCTCACAGATCCTCAGCGCCTGGATGAAGGCATCTACCCAGCCTTGCCGCCGCTGAAGACTATGGAAGAGTTCCCAGAGGGTGTTCTGGTTGCCCCACTGATTGAAATAGGCCCGCAGTCTGTCCTGGAAGAGACAGTCACCGCCCTGCTCAAACCAGGTGGCCCTGACCCCTTCCCCACTCAGGAGGGGACAGCTGCAGAAAGGACAAGACAAAGTCACAGCAGAGAGCCAGTCATCTGAAACTGGGTCAGAGGCCAGGGTGTAGCCCAAGTTTAGAGGCAGCATTAGGGAAATGGACTCCTACTGTGTTCCAAGCACTGCGCTCAGGCCTTTGCATGGCTTCGCTTACTCAATGCGATTATTACTCTTATTCTACTGCTGGAGAAACTGAGGCACAGTGGAAGTAAGGTGGCAAAGAGCCCATTGCCGTGGGGCGGGAATCCATGTCCAGTTCATCTGATGCCAAAGTGGTGGTTTTATACTGACCCCCAAGGCATGAAAAAAGGGTTTTAATTAGCAGAGAAGGAAAAGATTTATAGGAAAAATAAGAAGGAAGGGAGGAAAAGAGAGGGGGGCAACAGTAAGATACAGGGAGGATGAGGATACTGGGGAGACTCTGAGACAATGACAGTAGCTGTGGAATGTTTACACTTGCCTGAACTCACACCTGCAAACAGGCAACCAGAAAGCGGAAATGAAAACCTGCAGAATACATTTACTGCAGAAACTAGGTAACCAGGTATCCCCGCAAGCCCCAAGATACAAGAGGAAGGGGCCAAACCCCTTCAGTCACAGACTTGAGAACCAACAGCACCTGTGTGGAGGAGCAGAGAGCTGTGCATCTCCACCCGAGAGCAGCTGAAACTGGCAGGGGTCTGGCCCCTTCTCTAAGGGCCCAGCAAGTTCTGAGGGGCTCAAGCGCCCACGAACTCTCAAAACGGGGCCCTGAGCTCCATTCCAGGACAGGGTCCCACAAGGAGAAAGGAGCAGGAGCCAGGACAAAAGAGACAAAGAAAAAGAACATTCTGGTAAAAGTGAGTGAGGGGAAACCAGAGCACAGAGATCTCAGCCAGCGTGGTGTTTCCAGGCTCCACACAGAGAAGACGCAAGAGGGAGTTTGGGGAAGTTGCAGAGCCACCCTGAACACGCCTCGCTGAGAAAGAGAAAAAAATCGTCAAGAACTGCCAGCAGAACACAAAAGGAAGAAGGCTTGGGTGAGCGCTGAATTCCACAGCCCTGCCCCCGCTCAGAGGCTGGCCGCCCGCCCTAGCTCACCTGGTCACTTGTCGTGAGGCAGTACAGGTAAGGCAGAATCTCCAGAACATGGATACTGCAAAAGTTGCTGTGATAGCGGCGGATATACTGATAAGTCTTCTCCTCTGCAAACGTCATTGCTGTCAGTCCAGGCCCTGACGGGACCCATGAAGGGTGGACGGAAAGAGAGGAGAAAAGACTGAAAGAGAACAGATCACATGTGGCAACAGGGGTGGGAGTGGAGTTGGATGAGGCTTCCTTCCTCAGCTTTTTGGAATGCTGGCAGTTTTGTTACTCTTTTTATTTTTTTTTAAAGGTTTTCAAACTAAGTTTTTTTTTAAAGATTTATTTATTTACGCATACAAGAGCTGGGGTGCAGGCCAGAGGTGCAGGGGGTGAGAGGATTCACCAGAGACGGAGCGGGGAACAGAACAGGCAGACTGAAGTACACTGCTGAGGGGAGCAGCAGACAAGACAGGAGAGGTCTGCCGCGCCATGTGGGTTGCTCCCTGGATGGCCGGTGTCAAACTCGTGCTGCAGAGGCTGCGGATTGTTTCACAGTGCTGTGCTTAACCACTTGTGCCACCAGGGAGGCCCCTGTTACTCTTTTTAAACATCCTGTTTTGTGATTGCCTGAATCTCAGAGGCCCTCAATGAATTTATTTTAAAATGAATTGGTGGAAAAAAAAAATTCTGGGGAACTAGAAAACCTGTGCCTTCTTCACAGAAAATTGCCTGAATACTATTTTTGTTGTCAAGTTGAATTGTGAAGTTTTAAAACTTTTACTTAAAAAAAAAAAAAAAGAATTGAGGGGCCTCCCTGGTGGCACAAGGGGTTAAGACACAGCACTATGAAGCTATTGGCAGCCACTGCAGCACCAGTTTGATTCCCCGGCCAGGAAGGTGACCTACATGGCACAGCAGACCTCTCTGGACTCGCCCGCTGCTCCCCTCAGCAGTGTATTTCAGTAGATCCGCCTGTTCTGTTCCCCACTCTGTCTCTGGTGAATCCTCTCACTCCCCGACACCTCTGGCCTGTACCCCAGTTCTTGTATGCATAAATAAATCAATCTTTTAAAAAAATGGATTGAGGACTAAAACCAGAAGGACTAAACCTAGAAGGTCTAGGGTGCATTTCTGCCCTGCGGGTCGGTCCAGTGTTGGGGAGGGCTCTGGCTGCCCACATTGCTGCCAGATCTGTATGCATGCCCAGCCCCTAACAGCAAGAGGACTCCCCTCAGAAGTGCTGCTAGCTGTTGGGTATAATGGAGAAAAGGAGGAGGTGGGCAGACGCAGCCCAGTAGGCTCACTCTACTTCAAAGATGGAGAAAATGAAATACCAAGAAATCCAAGGTCTTGGGACTTGTTAGTGGAAGAACAAGGAACTGAGGTCCTCCGGCTCTGGATCAGGAGGCCAGCCCACCATTAAAGCCTGCTGCCTTGTTTTCTTAGGCCGCGAAGCTGAGTTCTACTCACTATGTGATCAGGGGAAAGTTACCAATCATTTCTCTAGGTTTATCCTCACTCCTAAAATGACTCGGACAGCTGGTTTGACCATAGCTTAGCTTCATAAGCTTGACATTTTTAAGTGTCTCAAATACAATCACTGCCAGTTGCTTATGTAGCGCTTACCACATTTGGTGCTTCTAGATAGGTTTGTTTTTTATTTGCCTCTCTCATGGGGAAGCCTGCAGGGAATAACAGATAACATCTCTGCCATTATCCAGTTGCTATTCTATTTGGGTGGGCAGACAACAGTAACATATACATAAACGAGACTTGCACATAATGATAAAGAAGAAAGCAGAGTAATGAAACAGGCCCTAGAGGAGGGCATGCATACTGCGTGAACTGGGGTGGTCAGGAAAGCCTTTCTGAGGTGGGATATCGAGGCTGAGCTGGTCCCTTCTGTGAGATTAGTCTTCTGGGCAGGGGGCACAGCAAGTGAGTAGTCCTGACTTGGAAATGAGTTTGACATGTTTGAAGAACAGAAAGCAGACTGGGTGGTCCAGATTCAGAAAGCTAGGGGGATGGGTAGAAACCAAGGTCAAGGTGGTGATGGTGGGGGCTTTGAGTTTTATTGGGAGTGAAATGGGGAGCCCCTGGAAGGTGCTGAGCAGGGAAAGGAGAGAATTTATGTTGAAAACCTCTCTAGTGTTTGTGAGGAAACTGGATCCTGGAGGGAACAGAATGGAAGCAGGGAGACAAGTGTGGAGGCCACAGCAGGGGACATGACAGGGATGGCCAGGATGAAAACCACATTGGTGGCGAGAGGTGGTTGGATTCCTGGTGTTTGGTGGATGTGGAAATGAGGAAGACAAGAACCAAGGGTGACTCCTAGGTGCTTGGGGGATGGATGGTGCTGCTTACAGCGAGTCTGGGGGAAGAGCAGTGCATGAGGGGACTCCAGAGCTACACTGTGAACAAGGGAAGCTTAACATATGACTGGATGGCTAAGTGGGTTTCAGGAAGGGAAGGGGGTACAGGACAGAGGGTCAGGCTGGAGTAGAAATGTGGGTGTCAGGCTTGGGTGAGACCCAAGGAGACAGTGCTGCAGAGCAGAAAGTGCCCCAAAGATGCTAACGCGGCAGATCCCTCCCCACATGGGCAACAGGGCAGTAGTCCTGTCTACCAGGCCCACCGCCTCACTCTGCATGCCTTGCTTTCCCAGCCGCCAGGCAAGCAGGTGAGGGAGGGGAGGAGAGGATGTGCTGAGCTTCAGGAGATGAGTCAAGAACAACCCTATGATGGGCAACAGACCCTTCTGGCCTTCCCTCCCACGGCATCCAGGTAGGTACGGGGAGAGGGTCATATTCTGCATTCCAGCCTTAGCCCTTAAGGCACAGGATTTGTGGGTCAGGGTATGGGGCTCTGATATGGTCGAAGCAAAAAGAAAGGAAGTCCATATCGACATTTATTGAGGGTCCGTGATAGGCAGCAAGTCCCAATTTTTTTTCATTTAATCCTCGTCACAAGGAGAAGGGGAGCCACGCTGACCAGTGGCCCTGGCAGGCTAGGAACCCAGGCCTTGCCTCTCATGGCAACTCACCATCCACCTCGCAGGGCACAGTGAGACTCGACTCTGGCCACCTTGTGAGGGGCCAGGTCACGGCCGGGAGAGGGTGGCTTGGGAGGATACACTTAGCTCCTTCTCTTGAGCGCACGGCACTTTTTGAGGCAGGTCTGAGGCCACTCTACCCCTGCCCTCCGCGGCAGCCAGTTCCAGACGGCTGACGGTCCTCCCAGATATTTTTGAGACTTCACAGTATCCATACGGAGAACTCTTTCCCCCCAATGTTTTCCTGGCACCTCTTTCGGATCGCAGAGAAGTTGGGGAGTGAAGTGTTCGGGGCTTGGCACGAAGAGTTTCCGAACCGACAGGCCCAGAGGCTGTGCGTTCCAGAAAGAAATCTCCACCTGCCTGGGAGGGGCCGGGCCTCACGGCCTCGGCTCGGGTTCAGGGTGGGGGAGGCGGTGAAGGTTGATCTTCCGGGCAAGTGTCACCACCGAGAACTGTGCAGACCCAGGTAGCCTCCGCTCCTGGCGCAGCCGCCAGAGGTTGGCGCAGCCGTACTGGGGCCCGCCCAGGGTCACCCTGGGCCTGCGGGCGGCAGACAGCAGCAGCTCGCGGGGCCGCGGGTCTCCCTCGGGCCCGACCTCCCCGCCCGCCGCCGGCCCCGGCGCACGCCCCGCGCGGCTGTCCTCGCGCTCCCCCAGCGCTGGCCGCGGCGTCCTGAATGCCGCGCGCTGTGCCCTCCCAGGCCCTGCCCGCCCCGCCGCTCCTGCAGCCGCGCTCACCTCCGACAGGCGCCGCGCGCCCTGAGCCGGGAGGACCGAGCGCCCGGAGAGGCGACCTTACCTCGGGCAGCCAGGACCCCGCCACCAGGCGAACGGCGCGGAGCGCGGCGAACCCTCTCGGACGCCGGAGCCCCGCGGAGGCCGGGGCGGGGACAGGGGCGGGGCCCCGCGGCCCCCCTGGGCTCGGCGGCGAGGGGCGGGCCCTTGGCCTTGGCCTTGATCTGGCGTTAACACACGCTGAACCTGCGCTCTGCCCGACCTAGTTTCCAGTTGCGGGCGCGGAGGCGCGGATTATTTTCTATTTTTCTTTATCTATGCATACAAGAACCGGGGTGTAGGCGGGGAGGTTGGGGGCGGGGTGAGAGGAGTCACCAGAGACAGAGTGGGGAGCAGAACAAGCAGATCTACTGAGATACACTGCTGAGGGGAGCAGTGGGCGAGACAGGAGAGGTCTGCTGCGCCCTGTGGGTTGCTCCCTGGCCGGGGATCGAACTCGTGTTGCAGTGGCTGCAAACAGCTTCATAGTACTGAGACTTACTCACTTGCACCACCAGGGCTGCTCGACACAGATTATTTTCTTCCCTCCTTAGCCTCCAGCAACTTCCAGGGGAAATCCAGGGCCAGACTAGAAACCAAGTGGGTGACCAGCCTCGGAGTCTGTAACTAGGAGCCTGTGCTCCCTGTGCAAAGCACACCTTCCTCCCGCTGAGTAATTTGAGAGGTGAGGATCTTTACTACATCCTTCGCTCCTGCACACCCAGGGCTTGACACACAATTACTGCTATAAATGTCCGGTGACATGCAAAGTTCCCAAGGATGTGAGTGCTCAGTCTTGCGATGTGAATGCTGGACCCAAGGAACCAGGAGTGGGAGGCTGGGGAGGACCCCTAATTGGGAACAGGGCAGGAGTGCCAAGGTTGGCTTGCCCAGTATGCTGGGCGTGGGCCTTGAGTGCTGCGTGGTAAAAGCCTCAGCACAAAGGACCGGGTGGGTACAAGCAATAGTGCTTGCCAACTGCTTCACCCTTCCTCTGCTGGGGCAGAGGAGACTGCTGGGTGCCCACTGCGTTCAAGGTACAGGCTTAAAGTCTTACACCTTAGGGCCCATTAAGTGCTCTCCTAATTATGAGACAGATTTATTTTTCCTGTTTCAAAGAGAGCTTAAAAGATTTGGGGAAGTGTCTGGCAGGTCTTAATAAAGTTAAACATGCCAACCCTATCACCCAGCAACCTCTGCTAGGTATGCATCCACCCAGAAACAAGCATACTAAATAACATTCACAGAGACTTTATTTACAATAGGTGAACCCTGGAAACAACCCAAATGTTCATCAGTAAGACAAGAGAAACACTGTGGGCTCACTCTGTGGAATAGTAAATAGCAGTGAAAAAGAACAAACTATTGTGTTGATATACACAACGTGGATGAATGGGCACCACGGCTGAGGAAGCCAAACACAGAGTACATGTTGTCTGGTCCCAGTCTTGGCAAGGCTCAAAAGCAGGCAAACCTCTACATAAATGGAAATTATCTCACTGGTTACCTCTGGGGGATGTTGAGGGGTGTGCTACAAGAGAGGCTTGTGGAGGGGTCTATCTATACCTTGATGTGAGTGGTAGTAAGCACACCGGCTTGTGCATATGTAAAAAGTGCAACTGTACACTTAACGATTGTTACACTCTGTACTGCAACTTAAGAAAGAAAGCAAAAAGAGGGGTTAAGAGATTTGCCTGCTCACCGTGCAAAATGTCTCTCTACAGCCAGTGTTCCCAAACTGAATCATAGGAAGATGCCTAAACCTTTTCCAGGTGGCATTACATTACTTTGCTTGGTAACCCTGTGAGTACAACATTCAGCATTTTACACATATCATACCTGAACTCAACCAACTGTAATAAAGTCAGCTCTGCCTCATTTAGCCAAGACTAGAGAAATGTGGATTGGTTGGAGAATTTCTCCTGCCTGCTACCCATCCCAAGTCCAGTGACTTCATACCTAATTAATTCTTGGGGGATGAACACTGGAAGTGTGTGGTAACTGGCTTCCAAATGCAGTTGTCACCCCTTCCTTTCTTTGCTGGCCCTTGCAGGGCATTTAAACATATATATAGCTTCTGGCAGCTCTCCTGCCCACCTGTGACTGTGCAGGTGTGTCTCTTTTTCTTTCTCCTTTCCCTGTTCTTTAAAAATGTAAAAGTATGCATATATGGCTTCCTCAAAAACACTCTGAGGCTTTCTCTTAGGCCATTTGGGCTGTTATAACAAAAATGCCACAGCCTGGTTGGCTTCAATCATAAACATTTCTCAGTTTTGGAAGCTGTGAAGTACAAGGTCAAGATGCCAGCAGATTTGGTGTCTGAGTAAGGCCCTTCCTCCTGGTTCACAAATAACTGTCTTCTCCCTGTGTCCTCATGTGGTAGAAGGAGCGAGGAAGGGAGGTATCTGGGGTCTCTTTTAAAAAAATACAATTCCATTCATTAGGGCTTAACCTTTAAGACCTAATCATCTCCCATTGGCCCTACCTCCAAATTCACCACATTTGGAATTAGGTTTGTTTTGGTTTTTTTAAAAAAAAAAGATTTATTTATTTATTTATTTATACATACAAGCACTGGGTACAGTCAGAAGCGCGGGAGGGTGAGAGAATTCACCAGAGCCAGAGCGGGGAGCAGAGCAGGCAGAAGGACCGAAGCACACTGCTGAGGGGAGCAGCGGGCGGCAGGAGAGGTCTGCACGCCATGTGGGACCCTCCTCCAGTGGCCGGGGAGCAGCTGGGGATCGAACCGGCACCGCAGAGGCTGCGGGCAGCTTCGCAACCCAGTGCTCAACCGCTGCGCCACCGGGGAGGCCCATGGAATTAGGTTTTGATATATGAACAGGGGTGGGAGGACATAGACACTCAGTCATGTTGCAGTATGTAGCGAACAGATCTTCAAATCTGTCAAGATAGTCAAAGATAAGGAAGATTCAGGTACTCTTCTGGACTAAAGGAGACCGGAGACACATGAAGATTGAATGCAAGTGGGATCCGGGGTTGTACCCCAACTCAGAGAAAGTGTGTCAGTGGGACAAATGGCAAAATCTTACTAAGGTTTTTGAATTAGTTAATAATTGTCTATAAATATTAATTTTCTGGTTTTGATCACTGCACTATGGTTACATAAGATGTAAATATTGTATTTTGGGGGATTTTTGGTTTTTGGGTTTTTTTTGTTTTTTTTTAAAGATTTATTTATTCAAGCACTGGGTGCAGTCAGAAGCGCGTGAGGGTGAGAGAATTCACCAGAGCCAGAGCAGGGAGCAGAACAGGCAGACTGACAGAAATACACTGCTGAGGGGAGTAGTGGGCGGCAGGAGAGGTCTGTCACACCATGTGGGACCCTCGCAGCCCAGCGCTCAACCACTGCGCCACCAGGGGAGGCCCTAAATATTGTATTTTTGCAGCTGTGTTGTAAGTCTGAAATTATTTCAAAATAAAAAATAAAATTTGAGGGCCTCCCCAGTGGCGCATTGGTTGAGCCCTGGGTTGAGAAGCTGCCCGCAGCCTCTGCAGCACTGGTTTGATCCCCGGCCGGCGGCAAGGGTCCCACATGGTGTGACAGACCTCTCCTGCCGCCCGCTGCTCCCTTAGCAGTGTACTTCGACAGTCTGCCTGCTCTGCTCTCCGCTCTGACTCTAGTGAATTCTCTTGCCCTCCTGTGCTTCTGACTGTACCCAGTGCTTGTATAAATAAATAAATAAATAAATAAATAAATAAATAAATAAACAAACAAATAAATAAATAAAAAATTTGAAAATCATCTTTTGACCCTTTCTGGCTAACTAGCTTATCTTGCTTTATTGTTGATTGTGTTCTACCCTTTTTATGAGTACAATTCATTGATCATCCCCTGTTAATTAGTGGAAGGGTGATTCCAGAGAGTGATCTATGCCCCAGGCCACCCCTCAGGGAGAAAAGTTCACCCCCCAGTAAAGTTCACCCCCAGGCAAGTGGCCCATGTCTGCAGGCCAGTCTCAGAGGAAAGCTGTGGTTCACTTCTCATGACTCAGCTCTGGCCAGCTCACGCCAGAGCACCCCAAAGAGGGAAATGTCCTCATGTCTGAGTCCCTTCAGGGAACTCTCCAAGACTGAAAAACAAAATATAATCCCTACCTTTAGAACTTCATTTCATATAAGTTTTAAATCTGGTATTCTTACTTTATTGTACTGTATTGCAAAACAAAACAAAACAAAACAATGTATGTTCAACAAAGCTTGGGAAAAAATAATACACACTTATATAGTCAATTTGGGGAAAAGCAGAAATGTGATGAGCAAACCCAAATTGGAACTCACAATACCACCAACCAGGGGGAACTATGGGGACACTCTGTTGCCTCTTCTTTTTTTTTAAAAAAAATATTTATTCATTTATGCATACAAGAGCTGGGGTATGGGCCTCCCCGGTGGCGCAGCGGTTGAGCGCTGGGTTGTGAAGCTGCCCGTGGCCTCTGCCGCACCGGTTTGATCCCCGGCTGCTCCCCGGCCACCGGAGGAGGGTCCCACATGGCGCGCAGACCTCTCCTGCCGCCCGCTGCTCCCCTCAGCAGTGTACTTTGGTCCTTCTGCCTGCTCTGCTCCCCGCTCTGGCTCTTGTGAATTCTCTCACCCTCCCGCGCTTCTGACTGTACCCAGTGCATGTATAAACAAAACAAACAAACAAACAAATAAATAAATAAAACATGCCTCTATTAAAAAAAAAAAAAAGGAGCTGGGGTATAGGCCAGAGGTATCGGGGTGAGAGGATTCACCAGAGACAGAGTGGGGAACAGAACAGGCAGGCTGACCGAAATACACTGCTGAGGGGAGCAGTGGGCAAGTCAGGAGAGGTCTGCTGTGCCATTGTGGGTCAATTCCCTGGCCGGTAGGGGATTGAACTTGTGCTGTACTGCAGTGGCTGCCAATAGCTTCATAGTGCTGCAACTTAACCCCTTGCGCCACCAGGAAGGTCCCTCTGTTGCCTTTTCTTCTAGTATTTTCCTTTTTATTTTACTTTTTATTTTTTATTTTTTTAATGAGGGTCCTGAAGTCCAGGAGAAGCTTCACTTCTTTTTTTGTTTTTTAAAGATTTATTTATTATATAAGCACTGGGTACAATCAAGCACGGGAGGGTGAGAGAATTCACCAGAGCCAGAGTGAGGAGCAGAAGAGGCAGACTGACGAAGAAGTACACTGCTGAGGGGAGCAGTGGGTGCCCGGTGGCCAGGGATCGAACTGGCACTGCAGAGGCTGCAGAGAGCTTCGCAGCCCAGCGCTCGCTAAGCCACCAGGGGAGGCCCTAGTATTTTCCTTTTTACAATAAAGGCCCTCTGAGTCCTCTGGCTCCCTGAGGTCACCTTGGTTTTTTGTTTTTGTTTTCTACATTTTTAAAGGACAGGTTTGAAAAAAAAAAATAAATAAAAGGACAGGTTTGGGCTATCAAGCTATAGCCTGCCACTACAGTGGCTGGATAGCTTGATAGCAGTGTCTTTAACCCCTGCACCACCAAGGAGATCCAGCTTATAAACGTTTGATGCAAAATCTTCAAAATAGGTCTTCTTAATTTCAAATTGTCTGATCCTAGGTATTTTATATTTTTTGTCTTTATCCTAAATGGGATCTTGGCTTACATTTTATTTACTAACTCATTCCTGAAGGACAGAGGAAAGTTACTGATTTCTACTTAGGAGTTTTGCTATCAGTCACCCACCTCAGGGCTTCTCCAAGTCAGGGAAGGCTCCACTTACTTGCTCTCCAGAACTTCCTTCATTTGTAAGGCCACATGAGCCAGAGAGCTGCCGAAGGATTTTAATGCCCTGTTAGTTCAGATCAAGTATCAATTCCAAGCAATACCCAAAAAGGAAATGCTATTTTCGGCTCTAGCTTAAGGTGGAGTTCAAAGACTTCTGGACTCTCAAACAGGCGTGGCTTGTATAACTGTGGTGGATACAGAAGGTCGTGCTTTATAACCTTCCAGGCTATGAAAACCCAGGTGACTGTTTCAAAGAGAGGGAGTCTTGACCATTTTTTGTTTTTTTTTTTTCACTTGCCTTGCCTGGGGGTAGAAGTCTCAGGCCTGTGACAAAGTAAATGGTAACTCTCACCTTTTTCAGAACACTGAGGGGGAAGATCCTTCCTCTCATAAACAGCAGGGTGGCAGAGTAGCTGTGTAGAAAGCCAGCCAGCATAACCTGGGAACCACGGGGCTTGTAGCAGGAAACTTACAAATGCTACAAGATTGCTGCCTTTGCTGGAACAAGCAGCTTATCTTCTGGGAAAGGCACTCTGTGGCCTAATATATCATCTTGATATATAACACACACAGGCTTCTGTTTCTGTCTGCTTCACAAGAAAACAATTGCTACTTAGTGATAGTACAGAGTCCCTGGTCCCCAGGGTCACCGATAAATCACTTATTCATTCACGCATGGATGCATTCATTTGTTCCATATATAAGGGTGCCTGCATAGTGCCAGGTGTTTGGGTGTAATGCAGAAACCAGAGACACAATAAAAACCCTCCTGGGTATTATGACCTGTTGCAAAAAGGAACTATTAAATGACACAATAAACATATGCAATGGCAGGGATGGAAAAAGCTATCAACAAAATGAGCTAAGCTCTATCTGCCTCTTAAAGGGAATATATGGGGGGCCCTCCCTTGTGGTGCAAGGGGTTAAGTCTCAGCACTACAAAGCTATCACCAGCCATTGCAGCCTGATCCCCAGCCAGGGAGCTGATCCACATGGCACTGCAGACCTCTCGTATCTCACCCACTGCTCCCCTCAGCAGTATTTGAGGAGACCTGCCTGTTCTGCTCCCCACCCCACCCCTCTGGCCTACGCCTCAGCTCTTATATGCATAAATAAATCTTCTTAAAAAAAGGGAATATATGATTCACCTCTAGAAGGTTTTATATACAATATACATATATATACATATATGTGTGTACACACACACACACACACACACACAGCCTTCCAGAGTCATCTACTTTTTTATTATCGCTACCTGCTGACACTTTAAAATTGAGGTAACAGTGGTTTTCAACACTGTATCTGATTCAGATACAGGATCACACCTCTTCAGATGTGTGTTTCTATACCACAACTACCACCAAGGCACCCACAGTCCTCCACCACAGTCCACTAGGTCCCCTCCACACTCTGCCCTCCCCCTCTAGTAGTGTCAATTATCCGAAAGTCAGACTTTTAGGCTTTATTATTGGTTTGGTTCTATCTGACCCTCTGTTTTGTTTCTCTGAAATCATCTTGTATTTGTCTTTCTCCTTCTGATTTATTTTGCTTAGCATAATCCCCTCCAGCTCCATCCATGTTGTCACAAATGGCAAGAATTCCATCTCTTCTTTTATGGAAGGCTCTATCTTTCTATGGTGCCCTTCAGCTCGCAGACATCAGTCTAGACTTGCCTAAATATTAATCATGTCTCATGAGGGCTTGTGATTTTGAAGCTGAGTTGAGCTGCTGAAGATGGAACCCCATCTTTTTAAAGTACATACAGTCATGCTATCCAACTCTCAGCAACCTAGGAATAAAAGGGAACTTCAAGTGGATAAAGAATAGCTACAAAAACTACATACTTAGTGGTGAGAAACTAGAAGCATTCCTGCTAGGATGAGGAACAAACCAAGAATATCCCTTTTCACTACCTTCCTACACTTACTAGAAGCCCTAGTTAATGCACAGAAAAAGGAAATGAAAGATATATAGACTGAGAAGAAAGAAAATTGTTTACAGATTACGTGATTGTCTATGTAGAAAACCCAGACTGACAAAAAAGCCCTCATGGAGGGTCTCCTTGGTGGTACAAGGAGTTGTATCTCAGCACTATGAATCTATCTGCAGCCACTAATCTACGAGTTCAATCCCCAGCCAGGGAGCTGACCCACATGGCACAGCAGACCTCTCCTGCTCAACCACTAGTCCCCTCGGTAGTATATTTCAGTATATCTGCCTGTTCTGCTCCCCACTCTGTCTCTGGTGAATCCTCTCACCCCCAGCACCTCTGGCCTGCACCCCAGTTTTTGTATGTATAAGTGAAAATAAATTTTTCTAAAAATGCAAAAACCTGATCAAAAGTGCTGCCTCTGGGCCTCCCTGGTGGCGCAGGGGGTTAAGACTCAAGCTGTGACGCTGTCTGCAGCTGCTGCAGCGCAAGGCATGAGACCCAAGCAGGATCAGACTGCTCTAGGGAGTGGAGCACAGATCTGAGGGTAAAGATATGGAGATTGGGCCCACCCCGGAATCTCTGGTCCCTTTCTAGTTTTGCCTCTTACTCAACATCAGCAACAAGCAGGCCACTCCACGGAGGAGTGACCCCTCCCAAAGAAAAAAGGACTATACCAGTGCAGTCTCTGCACTGGCTCAGGGCAGCACTCCCACTGCCCACCTGTGACTATGCAGGTGCCTCTTTTCACCAACTCTCTCCCTCTGCAGGGCAGCAGCTTTCTGGCTGCCCATGATCTGTACCATACCGGCACTTCTCTTCACTGATCTCCCTTAGCAGAGGCAGCTCTTCTCAAGGCCGCCTGCCTGCAACCATGCAGGCCTCTCTCAGCAAACCTGTCCCTTTTCCTTTCCCTAATAAGCCTGTGAGAGTTAGATCCCCAGCCAAGGAGCTGCCCACATGGTGCAGCAGACCTCTCCTGACTCGCCCGCTGCTCCCCTCAGCAGTGTATTTCAGTCGTTCTGCCTGTTCTGCTCCCCACTCCATTCTGGTGAATCCTCTCACCCCCACACCTCTGGCCTGTACCCCAGTTCTTGTATGCATAAGTGAATAAATCTTTAAAAAAAAAAAAAAAGCTGCCTCCTAAGTGGGTGTGGCTGGGTCCCTCCTGGGTGCCAAAGGGCAAGGGACACTTGGCAAGCAGATGGGACTGACCTGTTCCCTGACCACTCAGGAAGAACCTCACAGGTAACAGCCAACTCATGCAAACAGATGTAAAGTGGGGGATTTCCCCCCCCACCAAAGGAATCATGTTAAACCACCACTAGCTGCTGGTGGTTACAGACTCTCTAATATGCCCTCCCCATATCTCTATGAGTCTGACCACTGTGTGGGCCCTTCTTGAGGGCTTCCTCTGGGTGCAAAGTCAGGAAACTTGCCCTGGGATCAGCCCCAACACTGAGGGGAGGGAGTAGGAGAGACAGCCACAGCCCCAGCGCCTCTGTGAGGTTATCAGGACATGACTACTATGCATGGGCCCCCAGAGGCCTTGACCATGAAGGCTCCCAGCTTCAGGGTCACAAGGGGCAGCACTCATGGGAGCTGTGCATCAGCTGATCTCAGAGAAGCAAGGGGTGAAATCACAGCCAGTGCTTTTAATTGAAAAGCGAGACCTGATGGCACCTTCCCTCCTGTGGCTGAAGGCACCCCATCATTTGTCTTTTTCTTTTTGATGTGAACATCACCTGCGGATTGTATCGTCTCTAGAGCAAACAAAAGATGAAGCTTATTTAGAACTGGATCATCTGGCCCTTTGTCTCATCTCCCTGTTCAAAATGCTCGCTTCTGCATGGCAGCCTCCTCTGGGATTTGCAGCTGGGCTCACTGCATTCAAGTCTCAGCACAATCTTCTTCATACTTTTGGCCTTTTTCTGGAAAAGTGGCTCAGTCTGCCCACCACAGTGAATTTACTTCCTGTCATAATGCCACAGTGCCTGGGTACGTAGAGAATACCTACCCTTCCTGAATGGTGTCACTTTGTGGGGCAGATGGGAAAGCCCAATATTATAAGGCTGCCCAGAGGGGCATGGGCCCAAAGGAAGTCACAGAATCTCCCTGCTGAAAACCTGTGACCTGTGGTGGGGCGGGACACCGAGCAGGCCCTCACCAATAAAACCCCGTTGATGATGTCACCCCAGGTTGCAAAGGCAGGGGCCAGCTCCCCGACCCTGTGGGTCTGAGACTTCTTTGCACAGCAATGGCTGTGGGTTTGGAAGAAAGTGAGTGGAGTTCCAAGCAGCTGCTCCTCCCCACCCCGGCCAGCAGCTAAAGGCGTGTGGGGCTGGCTAGCAGGGATGGGAGAAGTGAAGTCAAGAGGAAGCAGGCTGGCCCACCATAGCTGTCTAACAAGTCATGTGGCAGCTGCAGGCACAGGGTATTCTGTTATGCCTGAGGCCAGGCGCAGTCATCTCTCCCCCCCTGCATGGTCCCCTTTTCTGCCAACTTGTCCCATCCATTTGTCCCAGGAGTGGCAGCATCCCGGAACTGGGGAGGAAGCAGATGCCAAGCTTCTGCTGGCTGTTGTCAGTCCCCGGCCTCCCTCCTTGCCCTCTTGGCAAGTCCCATCCCAATGAGGGGTCAGCGGGGGCAGGCAGCACTGAATTCCTTCTCCAGATCCTGGACGAACTGGTCATTGAGGAAGAGAAGCTGACCATGGGGCAAGAAGCGCGTGAGAATGCCCTCGATGCGGTCAGCCCGCAGCAGGAGGTTGGTACCAGGGGTCAGCAGCCGAAGGTGGTCGAGGAGGAGGCGTGCCAGCAGCCGGAGCGTGCCCTCGGCCAACAGCAGGTTCTCGTGGGCATCCAGCACCAGGGCGAATCCTAATGAGAGCACACCCAGCCACACTACCGTCCGAGACTCCTGGAAAGGGTCTCCTGCTGCCAGGCGGAAGACCCCACGTGGGGCCTCATGCAGGGGCACCGGCTCATCTGAGGACTGGGTTTGCAGGTCCAGGGGGGACCGGCCGGATGCTTGCTGCTGCAGCTGGCACATGGACTCCACCTGCCTGGAGAGAGTGGGTGGTTCACTAACTTTTGTCATCTTTGTGAGTCCCCCTGCAACGGGGAGCTTCCATATCCCCATATCTCATACACTGAGCCCCAGACAAAATGATTTGCCCAGGGTCAAAGAGGAGGAAGCCTGAGCTGGTACAGGAACCCAGCTTCCTGCCTCCAGGCCCTGAACCACTTCACTCCGTGAAGCCAAGAGAAGGCAGGTTTTGAACACAGGGCCTTGGGCTGGGAAAGGGAACCAGGGGGAGAAGATTCTGCCCTACCGCCCACCTGCTCCATAGATGCTTCTGGAAGCCATAAGAAGTGGAGTGAAACTTGGGCTGTCCAACTTGGGCTGTCCAATTTCTCCACCCTCTTTCCATTCTGTAACCCATTCAAAGTAAAATGAAAGACCTTCCACTTGGCCTTCAAGACTTTTAAAAGCACTCCCTGATCCCTCCTGAATAGCCTTCTAATTTGGCCCTGCATATGCTGGTCTTAAAAGGCAACTGTTTAGTGCTAAAGAAAGGGAAGGCAACCCCAAAGAAAGGGATGGCAGGAGACTGGCACAAGGTTGCTCCAGAGTGTTAATCCCCTAGCCAGAGGGACCAGTGTATTCCCAGGCTTTCCAGAGGCTCCAGGCATAAAGAAATTCCATTGTCTTGCCTCCTTAGAGACTCATAAAGCCTACAGGAACACGTAAGGCTCTGATAAGTCCTGCACTACATAGCATATTTCATCTTTATAGGGTTTACTTGCCTATACTCAGATCCCAGCTCTGTAGCTTCCTACCTATATTGCCTCATGACTCATAAAGTCATGAGTCAGGTTAAGTCCCTTGAACTCTCTTTGTCTCAGTTTACAACTCTGTAAAGTAGGGATAATAACTGTACCAATCTCAAAGGACTGTTAAAGGATTGAATGAGCTCCTAAGAAGGAAATGCTTAGAATATAAATACCCAGCATGTATTTACAGATTCAATGAATGCTAACTCTAACAGTAATGCTGACAGCATTCTTAGTCCTTTAACCTTTTTCCACATAACACTGCAAATGAACAACTGTGAAAGACTCTCTGGGTCTAAAACTTTTGCTTTGCTTCTTAGCTGTTTCTCTATATTCCATCACAATCAGCATGTGTTCAATGGCTGGGCTGGGCTGTTACCTGGCTACCGCCAAAATCTGCTCCTTCCGGAGAAGCCTCTTTCTCTCGGCACCATGTGGCCGTGGGTCGTTGGGTAAATTCTCAGCTCCAAAGATGCAGGAGTAGAGCACTCGACAAAAGCCTGTGTTCTCAGCATTCGGGGTCCTTAAGGTGTGAATGAGGAAGGCGTGGACCATGGCTCCAGGGTGGTTGCTACAGGGAAGCCAGAGATCTTGGTGAGAACTTGAAACCCCAGGAGGGAAGGCAACCACAGCCAGGGTCTGACTTAGAAGGGTCTGGGGGCATGGGCCAGGCTGGTGTGGCTGTTTATTGGCCTTCCTTAGTCACTCAAGCGACAACCCCAGTCTCTGAATAAAGACATTTGGTCTGCACCATCTCTGCTCCTAACAGCCCATGTGAAGAAATCTCAAGCAACCAAACCCAATTCTAACCCAACAACTGGCCAAGATTCTTCAAAAGTGTCATAAAGTCATGAGTCAGGGGAAGCTGGAAGCTGCTCCAGACTGAAGGAGGCTAAAAAGACATCCCAGCTGAAAACAGCCCGTGAGTCTGAACTGGATGCTGCAACGAGAAAAAGATAGTTTCAAAAACTGGCATTTATGGAAAAGTAGTTTCAAAAAGTGGCATTATTAGGAAAACTGGAAACATTTAGATTATGACTACAGGTTAGAGAACATTCTGGATTAATGTTAGCTGAATTTGAATGTAGGACAATGTCACTTTTTTAGAAAATACACACTGGGGCCTCCCCAGTGGCGCAGCGGTTGAGCGCTGGGTTGCGAAGCTGCCCGCAGCCTCTGCTGTGCCGGTTCGATCCCCGGCTGCTCCCCGGCCACCAGAGGAGGGTCCCACATGGCCCGCAGACCTCTCCTGCCGCCCGCTGCTCCCCTCAGCAGTGTACTTCGGTCCTTCTGCCTGCTCTGCTCCCCACTCTGGCTCTGGTGAATTCTCTCACCCTCCCGCGCTTCTGACTGTACCCAGTGTTTGCATAAATAAATAAAAATAAATCTTTAAAGAAAAAAGAAAATACACACTGATGTACCTCTAAATATAGTCATAAAGAGGCATCATACCTGCAACTCACTTATCAAAGATACATGGGAGTTCTTTATAAGGAAATTCTTTGAATTGCCTATAAGCTTCAGATTACTTAAAAATAATAATAATAATCATAATAATAGTGATAGCGTGTGGCTTTCTCGGTGGCTGCCCCGGGGTTGAAACGGAGAGGTTGCACAGTAAGCAGATAATTGGAATGAAGGGTAAATAAGTCGTCCCTTTAAACCGGTCAAGTAGGAAGGTTCCCGAAGGTGTTTTCAATCCGCTACCTGGCGCTGACCTCGGGTTACACGCCACCCCCAAGAAGAACGCGTCATCAGCCTTCGCCGTCGCGTTTCTCCCCCTCTGCACTTGAGAAATGGTAGCGGCCGAGACCCTTTACGTCACTGCCTCACGCAACCCTGAGGCGCAGTGGATCTTGGGGGTGGTAGTTCCACGTTCCAGTCACACAAGCCAGGCACCTGGTCCTGAGTGTGCTGCCCCTGGGCCCCGCGGGCGCTGTCCTCGCAGCGTCGCACTCACCCTTCCTTCCGAGCCGCAGGACTTCCACTAACACATCGCTCCGCGGGGCAGCGAGGGAAGCAATGGCAGCCGTGCGTCCTCAGGGCGCCTGCGCACGTCAAGTGCGTGCGCGCGCACGAGCGTCACGCGTGCAGGGTGGGCTGGACCCTCAGGTCGGGGGCTGGCTTGGGGTGCGGCGCCTGGACCCCCGACGCGGGCGACCTTCGTCATCCGACAGAAACCCCCGCACCCTGAGGTCCGCCCCGGACGGGAGTCACCCCAGACGGGGTGCTCGGGCTTCGCGCTTGGAGCCTGGAGCAGCCCCCTGGAAGCCAGGCTACCGGCCCTGGCGGCCGCGAGAGGGCGCCCCGGCCCGCGCGTGGACCGGAAGAGGCCGAGGTTGTCCACAGTCCCCGTGGCCATTACCGGCCGAGTGACGTTTGCGGGGCCTGAAGGTGCTGGATCGAGTTCCCAAACTGACCAGTATGCGTGGGACAGCCCGGAGTGTCTGTTAAAATGCAGGTTCCCGGACTTCACCCCTGAAAATACGATTTTGGGGGAAATGTGCCTATTCAGGCAATTGGGAGGGGATTCAGGGCCGTGGGTTCCTGCGGTGGATGAAGACCAGAACTCGGTTTGGAGTAGAACATTTCAAACTCTGGTCCTGACCATGTCACCACCTGCAGCCCCTGGCTGGTCTGTCTCTTCGTTGGTCTCCAGTGAAGCTCCAATCGGGTTACACCCAGGATAAGCACTTAGTAGGGCTGACCATTGTTCCTTTTGTTATAGGGCAGCCCCGATATTGAACGGGTTGCCTGGCTGTGGGTCCTCACCCGCGCGCTTACAAGGGACTTATTAATACTCCACTACAGGCACACACAAAAGGTTAATAAAAGGCTTATTTACAAGGGAAAAGGAAATAAGGAAAATGTACAACTTAGGGAGAAAATAGGGAAATAAAGTCTTTAATGCGTTCTAGCCGATCCGCCGACCTGGAAACCCAAAAAGCACTCTCCGAGCAGGCCAGACGCTGCGAGCTGGTGGAAAGCCAAAATGGGGGACCCCTCCAAAGCCCACGTGTCTGGCTTTATACCAACCTGGCTGCTTAACCCCACCCTCAGGTCCCAGCCACCTTCCCTTTGGTGGGGATGGGATTTGGAGTTCCCAGTGTCTTTGGCTTTGGCCTGGGGTGGGGGTGGAGTCCACAAAGCCTGTATGGAATTAGCTTTAGGACATCCTTTTCCCCCTAACAATTTCATACTCCCACCTCTAACAAGCTCTGCTGTGATCACTGTCGGAGGGAGGCTGGCAAAAGTAGAATGAGGAGTCTTAGACCTTAAACCCAAAAGTGCACTGGCAGGCACTAGCCTCCACAGCCCTGCAGTGGGAATAAAAGCCCCCATTGGACACTTGACCTAGAGGTATTTGCAACGTGCGTGGGCCTCATTGCCTGCTCCCCCACCACACATATGTGTGCACACACGCATTTTTAGCATGTCAACCACGCAAGCCTCCCAAGCTGTATGCCAGTGTTCTGTGCCTCAGAACCCCACACTGGCTGTTCGCTGCCCTGGAATACCATTTGCTTCCTTTTTTCTTTTCTTTTTTCCCTTCAAGAAGTGCTCAGACTCAAACTTAGGAAAAGTCTTCCTGCCTGAACTTGTCAGTAGCACTTAGCTGTCCCCTACACACCCATTGTAAGGGTCTGCCCACAGTGGTGATATCTAGATTGGGGTACATCTGAGTTATGGCACCCAACTTCACTCTACAAGACAGGTCTGGAGCCAACCATTTTCACTCAACTGAAGAAAGGAAGGACAGGGCAATGCAACCGAAATAAGGGTCCCTAGAGCCAGGGCCCTGCATTGGCATGCCCTGGGGCCCCTCTGGGCAAGGAGGCACTGGGGGAGGCCAGAGGGCCTGGTTAGGCCATGTGGACATTTTGACCACAAGTATGTTTAGATACTTGTAGGTGGAGGGCCACAGAGACACTGTGGGATCTCAGCCACAAGGCAGGGGGTGAAGTTGGCACAGTTCCTGGTCCATATCACTCTTAGCCAGGACTCATGTCTCCTAGCTGATTATAGCAGAGAGCTGGCAGAAGGCTTTGCTTACTGAGGGCCACCTGGCATTTGGAACACAGTATTCCAACCTCCACTCACTCCTCAGGCCGTAAGTCCAAGTCTCAGGCCACTCTTGGGCAGGCTTGTATGAGATGCATTGAAATGGCAGTGAAAAGCTGGCCTGAGCAATACTCTGGAGGGCAGTGGGGGTGACCCAGTTGGCAGTAGCATCGTCAACTTGGTGGTGAGTAAGATAAAGTTCTTACCTAAAGGTTTTACTAAAAGGCTGCTTGTGGGTGTCCCCTAGGAGATTCCCTTCTTCTTGGCCACTGTCCTGGGTCCAACTCATCTTCCAAGGAGTCTGTGTTGGGTGCCATGGGAATGTCCATGCATGTCAGTTCTCACTGAAATAGCCAGCCCGTCAGTTCTGACCAAAATAGCCTGCCCTGCAGTTCCTATGTATACTGACCACACGTCTGCCCCATGAGCCAGCAGCTCTATTCCTGGTATCTACTGGGTAAAATGTACATGAAATGCTCAAAGCACCTTTTTCTTCATTATCTCAACCTGGAAACTAACCAGATAGCCATCAGCTACAGGAGAATAAATTGTGGTATAATCATTCGGTGGAATACTATATGGCAATGAAAAAGAAGAAGCTTCATGAATACACCTAATGTTGAGTGAAAGAAGCTAGTCACAGAAGTGTACACACTGTGTGAGTCCATGAACAGGGAAGACACATAACCAGATCAACCATTCTGCGTTCTGACTCTTGTAAGTCGATAGTGGTTACTCTTGGAGGTGAGTGACCGGAGGAACACAAGGGGGCATTAGGGGCTGGTCACATTCTAGATCTGGATCCGATGGTGATTACATGGGTCTGATCACTCCACAAATTTTAACTGAGACACTGGAGATTTGTGTCCTTTTGGATATACTTAATTCAACACAAACATCAAATTTTGTAATAAAATTGAAACCTCCACAAGTTCAGGGGACAGGGAACACTGTCTTACTTTCTTAGGTCTGATCTTAAACTGTGGATTGTCATAGAATTCTTCTCTGCCCTGCCTCCCCGGTGGCGCAAAGGGTTGAGCAATGCGCTGTGAAGCTGTCCACAGCCTCCGCAGCGCCGGTTTGATTCCTGGCTGGCCAGGAAGAATCCCACATGGCGCAGCAGACCTCTTCTGTCTCTCCCGCTGCTCCCCTCAGCAGTGCCTTTGGTCCGTCTGCCTGTTTTGCTCCCTGCTCTGTCTGTGGTGAATCCTCTCACCCTCCCGCGACTCTGGCCTGTAACCCAGCTCTTGTATAAACAAAAATAAATCTTTAAAAAAAAAGAATCCTGCGCCTCCCCGGTGGCGCAGCAGTTGAGCGCTGGATTGCGAAGCTGCCCGCAGCCTCTGCAGCACTGATTCGATCCCCGGCTGCTCCCCGGCCACCGGAGGAGGGTCCCACATGGCACGCAGACCTCTCCTGCCGCCCGCTGCTCCCCTCAGCAGTGTACTTCGTCAGTCTGCCTGTTCTGCTCCCTGCTCTGGCTCTGGTGAATTCTCTCACCCTCCCGCGCTTCTGACTGTACCCAGTGCTTGTATAAATAAATAAATAAATCTTAAAAAAAAAAAAAAAGAATCCTTCTCGGCCCTTGAAGGATGCAGACGTAAATTATGGTATAGTTAATAATTTTAGCTGGATATATAATCCTAGGTTTTTTTTCACCCAGGATCTTTAGATATCTAGTGTTTCAATGAATGAAGCCCCTGCACATATTTGGATGCCCAAGGTGTCAGTGCCACGAAGGGGTTGCAGATAGGATCTAGGGTAGGAAGACATCAAAAGGTCCTCAGTGAGCACCAAGAGTTCAGGTTTCCGGGTCTCCGTGGTGGTGCAAGGGTTGAGACACAACCTATGAAGCAATCTGCAGCCTCTGCAGCACGAGTTCGATTCTGGCCAGGGAGCAACCCACATGGTGCAGCAGACCTCTCCTGACTCACCCGCTGCTCCCCTCAGCAGTGTACTTGGGTCAATCTGCCTGTTCTGTTCCCCACTCTGTCTCTGATGAATCCTCTCACCCCCAACACCTCTGGCCTGTACCCCAGCTCTTGTATGCATAAATAAAATAAATCTTAAAAAAAAAAAAAGAGTTCAGCTTTCCTATGGTTATGTAAGTGGGTGGTGGGGAATCTATCAATGGCTCCCTCCCCTAAGCCAGATCCTCCCTAAAACACCTTGAACAATCTTGTGACAGCCTCAACCTCTAAGCTGTGGTTGAGCAACAGATGTAGTTCTGAAAGGGATTATGGTTGACACAGGGTCACAGGATGGGATCTACCCCGGGGCGCTTGTTCCTGTTCTTAGCACCCAGGTACTTTGAACTCCAGTTAATGACTCTAGTGCAGTTGTTATCTCTACTTTGGCCCCTGGTGGAAGTAAGGCAGGTGTTTCACATAACCCAGTGGCCAGAGGCAGATAACAGCCTCTTCTATAAAGAGACACTGGTGATCCAATCTAGCCCTCAGCCCCCGGTTTGGGAGCCACAGGCTCAAATTGACAGTCACCACTCTGCCCCGCTACTCCTATAGTTCTTGGTAGCACAACTCCCTCCGGTGGGCTGACTCTGAGCACTCCCTTCTTCAGTATAGCCTCCAGATTTTAAAGCCCCCAATGTGGGTGTGAGCCCTTCAGTCAACAAGAGCAGA